CAGAGGACAAAAGATGAGAAAGAGGTACAGGATAGACATTCATGTATACTTGACTACAGTCTCATTACAAAGACGGATATCATAAGCATCCTGAGCCATTCAGTAAATACCACACAAGGATCTGATGGGGTGAGATAGGGCTTAGTGATCTGTAGGTTGCAGTCTAGGTGGGAATGAAGATCTGGCATTAGGTTCAACTACATCTAGCGTGATGACAGAGATAGCAGCTGTTACAAGGGCACTTGCACGGCTGGCGGAGTAGAAAGCAATTCATACAATAATAGTAACAGACTCAACGAACACGCTTAAGAAGATCCAAATTGGCAAACTGTAACTAGAATGGGTTCACAGCATCCAGAAGTCCTGCTTCAAGAAACAATTTTGGCTGTACATACTGGGATATGCCAGGGTAAAAGGAAGTAAAAGAGCTGACAGATTGGCCATGTCTGCAGTGGTTGGTGGAGAAAGAAGTATGGCCAGGGCAGAGACAATACTTAAGAGGCTCTGAGACAAAGGAGCGGTCTGTTGGAAATGAACCGCCTGTTGTAAATGGGTATTACATGAGGGCAAGCATGCAGAAACCACTGCGGGGCAAAGAAATAAGACATACCAAACAACTCTTACTAGGTACATTCAGCATGGAGACACTGAGACAGTTGCTGCACTGGAGGACGGAGCAAGAATGGGTCAGACATTTTTGCTAGGATGTTGATACGGAAAATAAGTAACAAGGACAGTTATGACATTTTTGACTTTAGTGTCCATGTGTAGATGAGGGGCCCTATATCAGTCTTGTTCCAGCACTTCATAATCCTCTTAGCAGATAAGCTTGCAATGTTAAAATACGGAAAGGTAATCTAAATTGACATGATAGGATTGAATTACACACATTATGAATAAATTATGGGGAAACATGTATCCGACCCGTTGTAATGAGTTAAAATGGAGAATTATTCACAGATTTCTGTGCTGCAAACTGCACAGTATTTGGTCTATGCTCCATATAAGGAAAAAAGTAAAAAAAAAAATGTGTTTATATCTTTCAGTGTTTCCCATATCATTAGCAGTTTAAACAAAGTAAGATTTCTCTGACAAGTTAGAACACATAAATGTAAGAATGCACATAGCAAAATACAAAAATTATTTCAGACATTAAAAAAAACACTGATAATCATGATTTTAAATTAAATACATCACAGACATGCTTTCAACGAAAAAATATATTGTATTTCATTTCTGTACATTCTAGCACACAATATCTACAGAATGCTGATTTGAATGCTGACTGTTTCTAAACTGCATGGAGACAGACATCCCTTTCCAAATGCATCAAGACCTTGTTCATCTAGTGCTGCTTGTTGTTGATGCATGGGGAAAAAAAGAGTTGAGATTGAGATGGGTTCTGAACAAAAAATTAAATAATAAACTGACTTTCCTGAAACACCTTTTACATATTTTTACCAAACTGCAGAACAATACATAACTGCAATCTTATATAAGTATTTTATTAACCTTAACACTATTTTGTGTAATGAATAGGAAATACCATGATGTCAGAAGGGATTCCCAAATGGGACAGGTCAGGAGTGCATAGGCCAGCTAATAAAGAATCAGGGAAAAAGCGTGGCGGAAGGGAGATTGTGAGTCCATGCGAGAAGGGAATGATTGTTGAGAATCTCATGATGAGAAAGGGAACAAGTTAAAGTGGGATAGAAGAAAGAGGCATTCTGTATGAGACAGCGAGAGGAAGTGGATGGTTGAACTGAGTGATTGTTTTGCGTGATTCTGAATAGCTGACAGCAGGAAAAAATATCTAGCATATGGACAGAAATGGCCAAGTAGATGTAAAAAGCCTGTCAATGATTTAATTAGAAAGGAAATGTTTGTTGTATATCAGTAACCACAGACAGGAGTGAACGGTAGATACAAGTTGAAACTAGGTCATATAGGTTAATAGTTTCGTTAGTTTCAGAATCAATCTGCGTAATGAGAAATACTTTCCAGACGATCTACTACAGCAAAAAAGTCGACACAACTGATAAATCAGCAATAAACATTTGTGTGCGAATTCTGGTCTACCTCATGATGTGTCGTTGATACTAACATTCACAACTGGTGTAGCACTGTAGTCAGACAAAGGCGAGTCAATGCACTTTGCAATGAAAACAGAAAGTTTATATTTAATATATTTTCTATAAAATAATAATTTAAAAAAAAATACACCAAGGAAATGAGAAACAGATGAATTACACATGAAATTTGGAAGAAGATTTATTGACAAAATTTAATAAACTGTTACCAAGGATGTATGCTGTTTGCTAAATCCAACTTGCACTGAGGCTGCGTTAAGTCTTTGTGTCAAAGATAATGCAGCAGATACAATAGACAGGCTTTGTGGCACATGCTGGGATACACAGCGTATCTGATCTGTAAAATATAGAATTTCAGTGAAATATTCACTAATCGTTGGTTAGTTAGTTAACCGACTGATTCTCCTCAATGCACATCAAACCATCCAGTCCATAAGTCCTTGGGATCCCCACCTCAGTCAACAGCAGCCTATATAGGCTGACAACACCATTTCTATTTAATTCTATTTTTGGCTTCCTGCATAGTGCTCTTGTCTAGCCACACATCTTTTTAAACTTGCAGTTTGTTCATGTTTACAGACTCACAGTCACTTGGTTCTCATTAACATCTTACTTCTTGTAAAGCATTCAGTATATCAATAAGGCAAGAATCCAGGCAAGAGTATGTGTCTAATTTTATACGAAAACGCCGCTGGAACTATGTCGGCCACGCCCTTAGAATGGATAAATCAAGACTTCCTTACCAAGCCCTCATTTGGACACCACAGGGGAAAAGATCTCGTGGAAGACCAAGGGAAACCCTACGTAGAACTATCATCAGGGAAGGCTCGCTCATGGGCCACTCAAACATCCAAGACCTACAACGGATTGCAACGGACCGCCGTGCATGGAGAGTCACGACCTCTGCCCTATGTGCCGCACTCGACACAAGAGGAAAGACTAACTAACTAATTCAGTATATCAGCCTCGTCCATGGCTTGACCGCCCTTTCAAGCAAATTTACCTGTAAGGTTATTAGTTTGTTCATTTTCTTGTATGCCTACTTGCCCTGACATGAAAATGAAACAGATTTTTGTCAGCTCTGACTGCCTCAGAGACATCAATCACTATCTTCGAACCCAATGATCTCTATCTTCCTGAGCATACTCATTTATTTAATTAAAAATGTCAATTAAACATATCTAAAAATTTTTGTATGCTTTAATGAGCTGTAGGTTAATTTATCATGCTCTATTCTGATCTTTTTAAATTTTTTTAAAAACCTGTGAAGCCGTTCTTTATGGTTTAAATTATGACATTTATATTTCTAGTAATAAAACAAAAGTAATGTTAACAGTTCGTCATATGTTTAAAATAGTTTTGACTGTGGCATTCACCCTATTGCATTGAATTTATAAAAATACACAATTCCTAACTTACATTATACTGTCAAGAAAACGAAAATCCATACCTTAATTTCTGTACTCAATTTCTCCAAATTAATGTCACTGAAAAATGCAGGCAATAGCGTAATATAATTCTTTTACTCCTAAATGTCCATAATAAACATTTACAAAACATTTTTTAAATAGTCGAATTACAAAATTTTGGAGTTTCATATTTAGCTCTCTAAATTCGTCTCACCTTGATCTCTTAGTTTACCGCTCTGTGTTCGCATATGTAAATGTGATCGGCTATTAGAGTGCCAGTCTGACTGATATAGTGATCTTGAAGCAGGTTGGATTTTCTCTGTTTCAGATTCTATAATACTTGGCATGGTGTGGCTTTCCATCTCCTCAGCTGTTTTCACAAAAGGACCTGCTTTAGTAACATACCCAAGAGGCTTTCGTGCCAGTTTGTATCGCTGGTCAGAGATCAGAGAAAAAAATATTTAATAAGTATTTAAGCAGCCAAATTATTCAAAGATTTAAAAATAGTGTTATTTAAAATATATTTAAAACAAAATGAAATACAATTTATAAAATAAAACCAGTAATATATAAAAATATATTCACAAAACATATGAACACTTTTTTATTTTCTGGATAACAATTAATTTTAAATTGTGCATTTATTTAATTCTAAGAGTGTATTGGATCTATGCTTAAAAAGCATTTAAAAGCAAAAGAACTGCCTGCTTGCAGTACAAAATATTTTAACTGGCTCAGTTTTATTCTGCACAGCAGTTTGTGGCCTGTCACTTTTTAACTCTCACAAAAAAGATTCCCAGGGCCTCAGTGTGAGGCAAATGAATTTGTTGATTCAGAAGAAAGACTCATTTATTCTGAGTTGAAGCGTGATGAGTTGAGAATCAATATAATAGCACTCAGAACATTCCCAAAAGTGCTGTGTCCTGATTTTTAGCAGCAACTGCAGCATACCAGTTCTGATGGTACCAGTAGCTGTCAGAATGTATGTCCTTCTCCTCCCCTCCCCACCCCCCCAAGTGTTGTGTCAGCAAAATCCCCTGGTCCTACCTCACTGCACCATTTTCATCAAAGCCATTTTGATCTATTTGTGCATCTACACTGTTCAATCACTCCCAAAGTGCCCTGACAATATCTAGCTTGTTATGCACAAATTTACTACCAAGTATTGCAGAACTGTTTGCTTGTTTGCTTCCCCAACACACCTGCAGCCCTGGAGAAAATATCCAAAAGACACTACTTAAGACTTCAAAAGCGATGATTGCCACTCTGCATGGATCATACCTGTCTCCCCTTTCTCAGAATGCTCTGTGGGTCAGTTACAATTAGGACATGTGTGTGCAGCTGGCTCCCATTTATTCTATGCGTTCTTTCATAGGAATGCGCCCAAAATATCTCAAATAGCTAGGAACATTCACTCTACGTGTTTTTAGGAATGCAATTAAAATGAATTAACCATATTGGTCAGGAATGAAAACTTAAACCATACACTGTTAATTCTCACCTGATATGCTAGCAGAGTTCGCTCACTGGAACTGCCCTGTTTGGTACCTCTGCTTTTCCATCCATTTGGGTAATTTGGCTGAAGAAATAGAAGTTCTGCATACTTAGCAAGGTAGGCAAAAGCAAAGGTTGAGATTCAACGAATAGCTAAATGGTTTACTTATTATGTTACTAACATACAAAATTAATGTTACTACCTGAAACAACTCATCATAGTAATAAAGATCTCATCTAAGACAAATAAGTGAGATCAAATATACACCAGTGGAAGCAGAAACATCTCATTAATAGAGAATGATGTTGACATTTCTGCACAGACCAATTCTTTTAAAGGGCCATCACTTGTAACTAAACACTGAAGATAATCCCCTGATGTTATGAACAATTATAGCATGTTTCATGCAACAATTCTAATTGCTAAACTTACTGCACTTCTTTTCAATGATTTAAGTAGAAGATAACACCAATAGTTGTTTTGTAATCTATGCTGAAATGAATATATAACCCAGTGTAGTTTCATTCTACATTTCTTACTCATTCCTTATGCACCAACTCATATAAAAAACTGTCCTCTGTCGTGACACAGTCTCACTCCATGGTCTCCCCACAGAACAGATTTCTATCCATTATCTTCTGTATGTATTCTAGGTCTCCCTCTATCTCTTTTATATTGTGGACTCAAGTAAAATGGCTTTCTGTCTATACTATTATCAGTTTCTGTCAATGTATGTCCCACCCAGTGTCAGAAGATTCCTCATCTCTTGATTTGCCGGTATTTGCTTCATTTTCTCACATTAGTGAGCCTGTTAAACTATTTACCTTTATTGTCTTAATCAAGGACACTTAACTCTCCAGGACCAAAGAACAAAGACACTGAAGTGCCTGGGTCAGAAAACTATACACAAAGCCATCCCTTTATTTTCCAGCAGGTCTCTTGTAAACAGACACTAAGCAAGCCTATAAAGTATGAAAAGTGATTAAGTTATGCATGAGTTAAGAACTGATATCACAGCACTCGAGGCATTCCCATAAGCATCCCACTCTCAGCAGCAAGTGCAGTGTTTCAATTCTAAAAGTACCAGTAACAGTCTGATAGTATATCTGTCATGCTCCTCTCCGGAGTGTTAAGCGTTGAGCAGATACCTTAGCCTCTCCTTGTTGCACCATTTCTCAGTCTATGATAATCTTCCTTTCTGCGCTTCTGCAACTGCTTAATTGCTCCCTAAGGGACCCTACAACATGCACTTTGTCATGCATCAATTTACCACAAGTGGTGCAGAACCAGCCAGTCTTTCTGCTGTTCACTTCCCAACATACATATACATTCTGGAAAAAATATACAAAGGATGCTAACAACCTGGAATCTCTGAAGTAATGCTTACCACTCTGCAAAGAGCATAGGACTGAGATTCAAGCTTGCTGAGAACTTAACACTGTGAGTGGCAAGACTGCATGAAAGTCACAGTAGGTTTCCATAATGAAGGCAGAATAGCAATACTCATATCTTCATTACCCCGTACAAACAGTTCACTGGCATGCTTGGAATGAGGGTAATGAATGTCTATCAGATCAGTACCAGTTTCCAGTTTGAATAGTTCGTACAAAGTGAACAACTGAATATCATGGAGGTCAAACAACAAAAACATTTACAGGGTAAACATGCATACAGACATACATATATTCTAACCAATACACCACCTCTCTTTCTGCCCCCCACCTCCCACCTCACAAACCATTTGACAACAGATTAGTCTAAGTAATGGAAATGTTAAGAAAAATACAAAAAGAATAAACGACAAAAGTTAAATAAGCAAATATGCAATAAATGTAATAAAAACCTGAACAGTTTAAAAAATATTATAGGCAATATAAAGGAACAATTAAATTTACAGGAAAAATACTTTATATGACTGGGTCATTACGGCTTGTTCTAGGCTTTAACACTAGGAAACAAAAAGTAAAGTAAAGCTAGTTAAGAAGAAGATAAAATGTTAAAAAAAAAAACAACAGGACAAAACCATAGAACCGTTTACATTGCAAGACACCAGCAAAAAAAAATGTGTGAGGAAATAATACCAATACTGCAAAAGAAAGATGACATACTAAAATCATTTAACAATTAACCAAGAAAACATAAAACCTAATAATAATAGCTTAAACATAAAGAAGCAAACGCAAATAACACTTTCAAGGTAAGAATGATCAAGGAAGTTGTCAAAATCAAAGTTAAAATGAGACAGGAACGAGGCTAATAACCTTAATGCATTAAACAATTTATTTAAGGAAGCAGTTTGGCAAGTAATAAGCTACAAAAGGAAAAAAAAAAAGAAAAGATTAAATAACACAATAAAAAACACTTAAATTAGTAAAAGTATTAAATTAGTTCATGCATAAATAAAACCTAATAGTAACAGAAATACAGTTAAAAATAAAGTCATTTTAACCACTGATTACATCTTGTTTTATCAAAGTGCTTTAATAACATGCAAAGAAAATTTGCATAATAGTAATCAAATGAGTTTACTGAAAAAAATAAAAGTATCTTCACTTTATTAACAGAAAGTAAATTTATACAGCTTCTGTTTACTTTGTGCTTCATAATATATAAAAAGCGTAAAATAAAAATCCACTGAGCCAATTTATTGCTTGTGGTTTTTTTTTCTTTTCAAGCACCTTACTAAATGTTAACTGGGTACATACAAAAATGCATTTCCACAGCCCTTATATTCAGCTTCACTTTCGTCAACTGAAATGCTCAGATATTTTTCTAATGTGATGTTAGAAATGTAAAATATTTGTTAACTTTATTATTTAAAAAAAAAATTTCATATTAACCCTCAGCTGTTACTAAATATTTCAATCATTCTTCTCAGTAGTGATGATGGTTTAGTTTGAATATTTATGATTCATCTTTGCGTTTGGTAATCATCTTTGGATTAAAAAAAAATTATTCTTCAAATCCACAAGCCAATGGCTCCAATTGATTTGCTAGTCTTTGCAACTTGTAAAATGAATGATTCAGTCATTGTTTTGTATAAAACTCTTCACTATTTTTTCTCTCACTTCCAATGATAAGGCATTATGGCATTTGATGTTATTCACATGAATAATTGATAAAATGCAACCTTACTTGTCTTACCATTTTTTTACTGGATGTTTCAATGTTCATAACTAGCTGAAACTCTAGAATATCTATGAATCAGTACCACTGACAGTACTTGACTAGTCATATCTGATCTGGCTAAACAATATTATCAGTGAGTGTGTTTCTTTGATAATTCAATCAAATGTCTTATTCACAATGCATCATCCATTCTCTGTAGTTGCTTGAGCTTCTTTTTTTTAATCAAGACAGTGCCAGCAGCATTTGAGTACTGAATTGTCCCCCATCTTCTTCTTCTTTCTCTTCTTCTACTTCTTCTTTTTCTTCTTCTACTTCTTCTTTTTCTTCTTCTTTCTCTTCTTCTACTTCTTCTTTTTCTTCTTCTACTTCTTCTTTTTCTTCTTCTTTCTCTTCTTCTACTTCATCTTCTTAGTGTTCACTAGCTGTAAATTCCAGTGGAAAGTTCTGGTTAATTGTCCACTTCTGGACTGTGTTCTTGTTCCAGAACTTGAGTTTTGCATGCACATCTGTTTTACAGATGTGGCTTATTTATATGCAGAATGTTTGTTCCTTACCTCCCAAACAGATGCGGCTCTGAAGTAAACTCCCCTAATTAGTTGCCTTTTATGACACTCTTATGAGAGGGCAGTGGGTCTATTATTTTTCACTCCATAACAGAGCCCCGGAAACCACACAGGGTGTCCATCAGATGAAATCAATTGCATTTTCGCCACAGATCTTATAATACAGTCACTGAATGATGATAGAAAATCAGTGACAGTATGCAACATTAGTTCTTTATTTTATGCTATTGCAAGGTTGCTAATTTGTGCAGTTTGTTGAAACAGTTTCATGAACATAAAAATGGGATGAATTCAAAAAGAATGAGAATCTCAGAGAAATGTCTGGACAAATACCTCTATCAACTGCAATAAGACAAAGAAGGTGGAGATATATTGGGTACACTCTGAGATGAAATGTGCAAAGAATTACAAAACAGGCACTGAAATAGGAAACAAATGGTCTGAGAGAGAGAGAGAGAGAGAGAGAGAGAGAGAGAGAGAGAGGGAGAGAGAGAGGAGAGAGAGAGAGAGAGAGAGAGAGAGAGAGAGAGAGAGAGAGAGAGAGAGAGAGAGAGAGAGAGAGAGAGAGAGAAAGAATGTCTAAAGGAAACATTAAGAAGAACTTTATTACGAGAGGCAAAAAATGATGGGCTGAACTCCATGTCAGAAATAGAGAAAGTTGCATCCAACAGAGCGGAGTGAAGGAATTGAATGTGAGCTCAATGTGACGTCTAACTCCATATAAAGATTGATGACGATGATGATGAACAGATGTTAACGTAATGCCCACGTAAAGCAGTAATGACATTAGAAGCATGTATTACAGTTTTACATCCTTTCAGTTTAGGACATTTCGGTTTGTGGGGTAACAAAGCAGGCTGATAGATTGGCAGCTGCTGTTCCTCTTGGCAGTGAGCTTCTTTCTGATAAAGCAGATGTGGGGAAGGTTTGCTAGGATCGGTGCAATAGAACAAACAGATATTCTATATATTAAAAGATTAATTCAACTGTGGGGAAGGGGAGTTGAGTAGAGGTTCTGGAAGATATTCAGTACTGAGACGCAAACATGGGTGGACTTTTAATCATGTTGCAATTGGTCGTATTTGCGTCAACTCTTTGCTGGCTACTGAGGAAGAAGATGGAGCAAATTTGGGAATGTCCCGAGTGCAGCGATGTCAATTCTAGATTCATTCAAATTCTTCTCAGATAACTTCTGATTCCATGAGATGAAATTTACAGCTGTGTTATAAAATCTGTAAAAAATTCATGAACTGAGTTTATGAAAATATAAGGAAACTCTGTGAAAACTGAATAAACACAAGTGCTTTACACACCGTGTCATCTTGTTTAAAACATTCTGCTATCAAAAACTACTGTACATGAAATCAGTGAAATAAGATTGTCAAAAGACTTGATTGCAACACACCATTTTACCAAATGAATGTATGTAGACATTTGTATATTACACGTTAAGTCAAAAATATTCTTATAAGACTGTTACAAATGCTTAGATTTCATGTGAGAGTGACTGTTACAAATGTTTCGATTTCAAATGGGAGTGATTAAAAGTTGAGGACTGGACTGAATGGTTCAGTACCATCTGAGCACTGACTTTCGATGCTGGAATGTCAATCTGTTGTTGCTGCTGCTGCTGCTGAAGATCAGGTTTTATGTACAAGGGGCCAGGGTTTTCAGAAATGATGTGTGACATAACAGAACGAGAACAGTGAATAAGTGGAAGCTGTTGATCAGTGAGCTTTCGAGCGGGGAGACATGTCGCCGGCAATCGGGGTTGTAATCTCTGATATGTGATTTCTTGGGAGAGAACATGGTTGGGTCCAAAATAACGATCAAAGAGAGTTTTGTAGTACTGCATGTCTTTAGCTTTGTTTGGTATAGGCTTCATCAAGTCAAGTTCTCGTTGAGCCATCTCAAGACGCAGGGTCATCTTCTGGCAGTGTATCTTATCCTGGTTCAAAACAGAGCTTCTTAATTATAAACACACACAGAAACAAAAAAACTGTAAATTAACATTGATTATATTGTCTATAGTAACCCAAATTTGTCATGCAAATGTGTTTATTTGTGTGTAAAATGTGAAAAAGAATCTCTTTTACAAAAAAAAATAATAGAATGTCATGTAAATATATGTGAAATTGATATGAATAGTTTTTAACCATAAGAAAAAAACAAAATACCATAGTTTACTAAAACCACACTAAACATGATAAATGAACATTAAAAAAAAATAGTTTACAGAAAACACATTCAGTGTGAGCAACAAATAGCATTAGTTTACAAAAACTATACTGAATGTGAGAAATAAACAAAATACTTTCAGAAAATATATAGATATAAGGAAACGCTGAAAATGTGCATAAAAAACATAGCTAAGCTTCTCTACACTACACTTGGTTCTAAAAAAGAGAAAAAGGAAAATGTATAGTACAGAAAAAAAAATTTTAAAAAACTTATCATATTTGCAGGTTCAGATTGTTAAAAACAAATTAAGACCTCAATCGCCTTATAATGTCATCAAACAATATATCTTCATGAAAATGTGTATCAACTTCACTGCACTTGAGTTTATCCCATATGGCTCAGTCCCTCTTCTCAGAATGGCTAGCCACCGGCTGAAAGTGTCACCCAAAACAGGAAAGAAGCTCCTGAGGTGGTCCCCAGGGATCTCCATAAAAACTGCACTCATGAACTGAAGGATAAAGTCCATGAAATAAACCCATGATTTTCAGAGCATTAGGCAAATGGCTTAACCACAGAGGGCAAAACAAATACAATGCAACATAAACCTGTGCACAGAATGAAACTTCCAGCAGCTACTCGAGTTCCTTAAAAAAAGGTAGGGTTAATTACCATAGAAAATACCTTCAGAATATCTAAGGACTGGTTTTGCATGTTACACATTGTAAAGCATACAGATTAACATTTTAGGAAAGGTGAAAACAAAGTCTGTAGATATTAGATAGATAGCAAATTTTCTACTTGAGGCAACCTGGTAAAACTTGTGACATAACATGTGGGAAGCAGTTGGATAACAATTGGTCAGAGTAATATTAGATTTCTCGCCCAATAAACATCACATACCAGACATGACTGCTTAACCTCATATCCGTATACTGAACCTGTTCTTCATTACGGGCAGGGCCCCTTCGACATCCCCAGGAGGCAGTATGCAGACCTGAGACTTAAGTTCCATGCACAAAAGGGCATCTCACTTCCTCAGCATGTTGGACATCTCTCTTTGACAATGGTATCTCTCACAATGAGGCTCTGTGCACTTTTGTGGCATTTATGGGAAGCATGCACCAGACATGACTTCCTTGTGTGATCAATAAACATCGCAACTTCCAGATGAATGACACAGTGATGAGTGCCTGACAATTTCTTTGCACTGCATCTCTGGGGCTGCCAACTCAATTTAGGCCAATACAGACTATTATTTGTAGTGTATGATGAGGATGTGTAGCAGGAGTCTTGTATGAGCATCTATAAAATCAGCACACATATATATAAGCCATAACAACTTTAACTTTCCCCCATGCCTGCGAGTGAAATCATCAAGCTACAAGCAGAATTGCTTAATATGATATTAGAGACAGACTGAAAGAGATTTACAGATAAATAGACAAACAGGTAGGTAGTGTGTTGCTAGAAGCTCATGCAAAAGTCAGACAAATGGACAAACAGACAGACAGACAGACAGACAGACAGACAGACAAACAGACAGACAGACAGACAGACAGACAGACAGACAGACAGACAGACAGACAGACAGACAGACAGACAGACAGACAGACAGACAGACAGACAGACAGACAGACAGACAGACAGACAGACAGACAGACAGACAGACAGACAGACAGACAGACAGACAGACAGACAGACAGACAGACAGACAGACAGACAGAAAAGAGAGGCAAGGAATTAACAATCAACATACAAATTAATCAGATCTGTAAAATGAATGTGCACACAACACCCAGATTCAGAACAAGACTAAAGTTGGAGATGGACGAACAACCAAAACTTTCCATCAGAAGAGTTTACAGCCGGTGAAAATGAAGAAGGCGAAGGTATGACAGAAAAAGTCAGTCAGTCAGAGAAGACAGAAAAAAGGATGTTATGAAAAAGACGCAGCATCTGCTAATATTGTTTACAAAATGTAAGGTTAAGAAAGCATGCAAGCAGGTCACAGTAATGAAAAGCAAAGTGAATTAGCAAATGGCCTGCAAATTACTACACAGATTCTACTTCAAATGTTACAACATTTTCCAACACAAATCACACAAATCCTTATGTAAGCACACTGAAGAAGAACACAAAGCAGCATAATTTGTCATAACACAAAAAGTACATAACTCTTTTTACCAGGGTAGGATTATGGCCTCCTGTTTGGTTAACTGCTCTTTGCTCGGGTTTAATTATACCCATTGTTCCCGGGGTGCAGTGCAGTAAACGGTATACATGCTCCACGATGCCCAGCCCTCGCACTAAATTGTCACGGTGCAGCAATCCTGACAACCTTTCCAGTTCTTCGTCTGCTAGGATTTCCATTGGCTTCATTATATCAACTGGCTCAGTGTCACGAGCCTCCTGATAATAAAAAAAAGATAATAAATTCAAGATATGTAACAATGATGACATATAGTTTAAAAGCTTTGGTGAATAAATGTTAGAATTACTTAGCAAAAACCTAATAGTTATTAAAAAAAAAAAACACCCAGCTGTTAATGCTTTCCAAGAAATTTAGCAGACGTTTAATTTAAATTTAACGTAATGTCTACTATTTTATTATTTAACAAATTATTTTTGTATAAAATTAGTACAGCAATGAATGACACTAAATTGTTAACCTGCGATTGTCTGCCAAACAATCACTTACTAAACATAAAATTATTTATCAGAACCTTTGGGGTAAGAAGATTGATTTTTAAACATATTCATCACATAATAATATCACCATTAAAACTCTTTAAACATTGCTCAGAAATTAGCCATTTTGTAACTCAACTCTCAATCTTTTGTTAAAAGGGGAAAAAATATCATTACCTAAAATGTTGTTAGTAATGATTTAAAATACTGAAATATAATTTTAAAAAGTATGATGCATGTGCAGGGATTAAGGAGTTAAAGCATGTATAAATACAGAAAGAATTAAAGCATTGTTGCGTGACTTGAAAACAGCTTCATGAATGTAAATCTGCACAAAATGAATAGTTACAAATTCTGCACAACTATAAAAAGAAAATAGTTAGTCTACGTTTAATCTACAGCAATGTTTCACAACCAGGATTCCATAAAAAAAGAACTGGAAAGCTCCGATAAATATATTTCCTGTGTCGTTCAATATATTGCAGAACATTTACCTATATTTGTAAACACTTTTTGTGAGTAAAATGAATCTTTACAATTAGACATTGTCAAACAACAAAAGAAAACAAGAGTTTGAAGACTGACATATGCTGAGGAAGCAGACGCCCATTTTGTAAATGAAATCAAAGTCTCAGACTGCAACCCTAGTAGGTGCAGCCAGTAAAGAGAGGAAGGCTGAACATATGGATGACAGTTTAAGCAGTCATTGTAGAGAAGACAGTTTTTGTTGGGGGGTGAGCCAAGTACCAGAACATCATGTTATGGAAGCTTTTATGGATGGTGGAAAATATCTGTGTTCTGTCCCTGCCTTCCCTTGAGGACCAGTCAGCCTCACATGTCTGTACAGAATGGGTCCTCTAAGAACAACCCATATGGACCAAGTGATAATAAAGTCACCATACAAACAAGGCTGTGAAACATCCCATAAAACTAACCAGAAAGGCTAGCTCAGAAAACAAATGTCTAAAGAAGTTTGATGTTTTGGCTGAAAGGTGCAAATATCACAGGCTATATATAAATAGGCACAATAATTTCTGTTTTGGAAACATTCAGCTGTTTTTTTTTTTTTTTCACTCCTCTTGATCAAATAACTTACACAAGTTTCTCTGTCTGAGACATTCTTTGTATACTGCAATAAAGAAAAGACACCTAAATATGCATTCTTATACATTTCTTATACAAATCATTGAAAACATTTTTAATTTTTATACTTAATTTTAAAGACTGTTGAAAAATAAAGTGTCATCAAAACATCTTGAAAGAAATCAGTTTATAAAGAAAAAAAGATCATTCACATGATAAGAGGAAAATCCACTTTCTTGTACTAGAGATGAATTATGAATATTGAAAGAGAAGGGAAACCATGGAAAACCTAAAGAGAAGATGCTAGACAATTCAACATTATGATATGATTAAATATATTAAATGAAATTATTAGTGGGAAGTTGCACCAACACCATATGACATGAACTAAAAAAAAAAAAATCTTGATTTGGAATTCAACGAAAAACATCTCAATGCAAATATACTCATAAATAAAAGTTAGCATGTATCTTTCAGCGTTCATGAAATGTTACATTTCAGAACAAACAAGTTTACATGTTTAGTAATACTAAAAAATATGTTAAGAATTCTGGATTAAAATGTGTTAACAAATCCAGCATAAAGTAAAACACATAATTGGGAAATAATATGATCCAAAAAAAAAATGAACAGATTGCATTCATGTTTTCAATTTTTCACATCTGCTTAGCTTTACTGCAGTTTAGCTAATTTCAGTTAAATATATAATAGATCTAAGGGAGGAAATAGCTACTAAGAGGGAGCTCTATTCATAAGCACAGTTTTTAAGGAGATCCCTAAGGGTTGCCACTAGAGTTACAGAGTCTGCAATGCCTTCGGTAGGCAGCTAGCCATTCTGTGGAACAAGCTAGTCTATATATGATCAATATTTGTCACACTATAATTTATTTTCAAGGTCAAAAAGACTTAAGCCAGTTAATTTTCTGCTTTTTCATTTTTATTGAATACTTTCTTTTATCTTTATGGTATCTATCTGTGTTTCATCTGTTCAATTTTTTTTTTATGTGAGGTAAAATGTTAATTTTTTTTTTAAAGCGGCTTCGGGGAATTCCTGAAATAAGGAAATTACAGGATCCTGGCAATGTTTGCTTTCTCCCTAGGACACAAGGGTGAAAGGGTTAAATGAAGAGTGACCTGTGATAGTGTGCAATTAAATTAAATTAATTTTTTACTTTTATTTGTATAACTTCTGCGCTGCTTGTACAAATAACACTGACATTTCTCTTATGATAACTGTTGCATAAACTTGAAAGTTCTGTTTGGGTACTCATTAAAAAAAAAAAACTTCATTTTGAATTTCTCAACAAGGTAATAAGAAAGCCAATGTTTGTAGCAAATGATCTTAAAAGAAAAAAAATATAAACGCTAGAAAAGACTTACCAACAATAGCGGCGTAACTGCTCTTGGCTGAAAAAAGTACAGTATATTCACTAATTCAATAGTCATAATTTACTCAGGAGTCACTGATTTGCTGATTTAAGAATCAACATCAAAACACACTGGGCATACCCACAAATGCTTCAACTCCCACAGAGAATGTCTTAATGTGTAGATGCCTACAGTTACCGTAGCACACTGATTAAACAAACGTTTTTCTCTTCCTTTCATACCTTCCTCCTGGCTGAATCCATGCCCTGCTCCTCAATCATACATTCTAACATGTTATTTCATCTAACCTCATGTCTTCTATCAGTATTCATTCATAAATTGTCTTCAGAATGTCTCCTTTGCATAATATGAATGTTCCCACAGCCATCGCCCAATAGTCATTAAAATAAAATAACTTTACCCATAAACATTTTAAAACTTCACAAAAAAGGTAAATGAAGTCATGTAACAGACATTTGTCTTTGGATGGGAAGTGTCAGGTCTTCCCATATTATTCTGCACTTAAAAAATGAGGTAAGTATTCTTACTCCTACCTTTTCCTTCCAGACAATTTTCAGAAATGTTAATTTTAATGAGGCTAACTTTATCCTGAAAAATGTCTTTGGCTTAGGCGCTGGGAATGTGCTTTGTAATTCCAAAATACCCAGCTCAATTTCAGCTGTAGGTGATTCAGCAGCAGACTGCTTTGCATTGATTTTAACAATGGTAAGAATTGTTGACTGCTCAGAAAGCAACGACAAACTACTGAACATAAATCTACCTAACAAACAAAAACAAAACAATACTGGGGTTGGTTCTGTCTGAAAAGTCCTGTAAAGGAATACACAATTAAGTTTATCCTCAACCTGTATTTGTTTAAAAAGGAATCCTGCCACTGCTGAAGACTGAACCTGCTGGACCACTGCTTGAAGACAAAAGCACTAACTAGCAGACTCTCACTGAAACCAAATGCATTAACTACTGGACTCCCACTGAAGGCAAAAGCACTAACCCCTAGACTCCCATGGAAGGCAAAAGCACTAACCACTAGACTCACATTGAAGGCAAATGCACTAACTACTAGACTCCCACTGAAGGCAAATGCACTAACCACTAGATTCCCAATGAAGGCAAAAGCACTAACTACTAGATTCCCATTGAAGGCAAATGCACTAACTAGCAGACTCCCACAGCATTCTTCAACAGAAACTCAAAAACGTGTAAGATTGTTTCACAATGACAAACTTAACTTTACATGACATACATCTAAAATACACACTTTTTCAAAGACTGATCTCTTAAAAAATTTTATACTCAGAAAGTAAATAAAGGTCCCCTTTGACCTTTTTACACTACTCATATTTTAATAGATCAGTCAGCAGCACACAGAGGGTGATGTGATCAACACCATACAGCTGCCTTTTCTTCCCATGACATTACCTGGTACCTATTAAGACTGGGTCAACCCAGAAGCCAAGGTCCATTTTTAAAACAATATCTGAATTGATGCAGATTTGAACTCAAGACCTTTGGGCTGGCAGACCAGATCTATCCACTGTGTTACCATGTGAATGACTATTTCTATGTCAGCAGCACACTGGGCATATGATGCCAGACTCATATTTTTATAGATCAGTCGGGACAATACCAATGTGGTGATATGGTCTACATCATGTCAGCCACCTTTACTTCCTAGGACATTACCTAGTATCCATCATGCTGAATAGTTAAAAAAAAATGAAAGGATACTTACAGTACCATTTGCAGAGGACTGAAAAAAAAATCAGCATTTTACAATCAGCATTAGTGTCTTCAACATACAATTATATCTAAATTAAGCATTTTTTAATCAGCATTTGTGAACATATTAATTTTCTGAATGATCAGGGAAATGATTTCTTCTTTTGGTTCCCAAAAATGTTATCACAATCAATGCACATTGGGCATCCCGATGCATGCTCAGTCCTTTGATGCAACCGCCACTCTAAGTACCTCCACTGATTGTTCCCATGAGGAGTCAGTTGTAGTATCTCCTGTCTTTACCCCGAAGATGACACAGACATGCTTCACTAAGCTTAACTCCTCAGTCATGTAGTCATGTTAGAGTCAGAGATTCACCATTATCCCCCAACCTAGTCCATACGGCGTTGATGACATCAGCTCTGTCCATGCTTCTTCCCATTTGTACTGGTGCATTACTTGACAGCTGGTCAGCTCTTTCATTACCATTTACTCCAGCATGCCCCGGTGTGTAGATAAAAAAGATCTAGGTTAACTGTGACTTCCGAATGCCTCCTACCCATTCGGAGCATAGACTTCCTGTAGCCATTTTCTTAAGCATGTTTATTGGAAATGATTACTGCATGTGTGGCCGTCTGTTCTGCTACCCATGCAAGTGCTTTGGAAGCGGCAGTTATCTCCATGGTCATGCTTGATGCAGTATCTGGTAAGCACTGGTATCCTCTTTTATTGTTTTCCCCATCCTCTGTGCTGTGTATGCTCATGTTGATCTTGACCCGCACTTCATGGACTGATCTGTGTAAATGACAATGTTTTCAACGCGTGAATACTGATCAATCAGTGCCCTAATCTTGGCATCTACAGTGGCAGGTAGCTCCACACTGTTGCGACAACTTTAGACAAGCCATGCATGTCTACTCATATACCCATCCATTCTTTTCCATGACAGATCTTGTCCAGGTCACATACTTGCTGGATTAGATTTTCTGCCTCGGCCATCAAGAAGGAGCTTTTTTTTTTGAGACACATCCCTTTTATATCATTGATAGTGTTGTGCAGTGGGTGGCTGATGTCTGCTGATATCCTCAACTACGCTTTCACCAGTGCAACTTTATGTCTGGTGGCCACTGTCTGTAAATCCAGGACATACTGCATGGCGTGGCACAAGATGTCTTTTGTGCAGCCGAGTATGGTCTCGTGGCTCCATTTTGTACTCGGCACAGTGTTTCTAGCTGGGTGCTGCAGACTGTGAGGAGGCCCATACTCTAACAATTCTAGGGCTGAAGAAGTTAAAATAAAAAACATTAATGAAATTGAATACCTCAGCCAAAGACTGTTTCTGGTTGTTAAGATGTCTGAGTGGTAATGTCGGTCTCTGGCTTAATTTCCTTCTTCCTGGACTTTCAGGCCTGACCATATCTTTACGCCCTTTCCCTTTCAGTATCCCATCAAATTTCTCCTTTTTTCGTATAATCTCTTCTCTCTGCTGTCTGAAAGGCAATGTACACAAAACTTTTAGGAATTATTTACGATGGTGCAAGCAATATGTTGCTTCTGGGAGATAGAATGAAGAAATAATTATTCATTTATTAAATTAATATCGCAAAGAAAATATTATGACTACCAAGTTATTGTAACTGGCACAGAAAAGAATGCTGAATGTTGAATACTGAATTAAGAATCAACACCACAGCAATTGGGACACTCCCATAAAAGCTCCGCCCCCATCTTCAGCAGCAAGCAAAGAGTTCCAATTCCGATGGTATCAGTAATTGTCTGATTGCGTAGCCGTCTCACCTTTCCCTTGAGTGTTGAACATCAGCCAGATCTCCTTGTAACTCCTCGCAGCACCATTCTCCTCAGACAGTAACGATCTATTTGTCCCTCCGCACTGTTCAATAACTTGTCATACATCAGTTCCCCACCAAATCGTGCAGAAACGGCCAGTCTATCTGCCTGCTTATGTCCCACAGCACCAGCATGACCTGTAGAAAATATCCAAAGGAGGCAATCTATCCAGGACCTCTGAAGTGATGCTTGCCACTCTGCATGGAGCATGCCTGTCTCCACCTTTCTCAACATGCTTTGCGAGTCAGTTACAATCATGGCATGTGTGTACAGCTGATTCTCTAGTCAGCAGAAGGCAGCAGGAACTGCCTCAACCTCTATTCTCAAACTAGATTTTGTGATATCATATGCAAGACTTTGTTGCACTAAGCAACGTCTATTTGCTTTTGCTTTGAACCCAGATAAGAAAATGTTAACATGATCTATTATTGTATACAATTTAGTGTGGAGAAGAAAACATTAAAATGACCATAAACTCGTTCTGTATCATGCAATGAACCGCTCATGCACTGCATAATCCATAAACCTTTAAAATCAAGTATCTTCTATCAAGGACCGTTGTTATACCCAAACTGTTTGCTTTTAGTTCCCTCTGTTCCAAAGTGTTATTAAATTATTAACATCTTGGGATTCATATATTCACTACTGCAAACTAGAACTTTATGGACAGAAAGAGTCAAATTTAATTACAGGCAGGTATTGAAAAAAATTAACTTTTTGCATTACTAAACAGAAGAGAACTTCTGAGACCTATTTCATAAAGTTGAGACAGTGAGAAAGCTGCAGTTGTGAGAAATTAAATGCAGCTGAGCGACAGCTGTTACTAGATCACAAATCAAAATTGAAAAAAAAAAGGCAAAAAAAATTTACAGGGATAACAAAAGAAGAGAGGAAATACAAAAAATAGGCTTATATGAGGAAATATTAAGCAAAATGAGGTAGAATAAAACAGAAAGACGTATATGGAAACTTCAAATGTAGGGCAACAAATAATAAATTTAACCAAAAGAAAAGGAGGTCACTGAACTTACAGAGATGCCTTAGCTCTCCAGGAGCACACTTATTCATCATTTATGCAAATTTACTTTGTATACAAGCGGCTGGCCAAAAGGTTAGAATGCTGGGCTTTCAAGCGGGAGTCCCATGTTTGAATCCTCTGTGAGGTTGGGTATTTTTTTCTGTCGGGGGCAAAATAAAATCCTCACCTGCACAGTCGTGGCGACAGCACTAGCCATGCGGCCGTAAATCCACAGGCTCAAAGACCTCCCCTCCCCACCTGCCTACATCGCAAAAGTGGTTAAATAAAGGCAGTAATTGGCAGTTTAGTTTTGACTGTATACATGTGTGTGTACAAATATGCATGTGTATGCATGTGCACCTCTTTCTTTCCTTGTTACCCCTTAGTTCCTTTTAGCTATTTTTTTTTTTAGCTGTGACTTTTGTTTCAGTGCAAATATTAGCAATAACTAAGTTATTGAATGTCCTTTAAAAAGGTCAACCATAAGAGTTGCTGCGGGATAAGATATAATATCCTGACAACACAGGAAGGCTAACCTGGAAAATAGATGCTCAAAAAAGCTGAATCTGCTAGCCAAGAGATGCAAATATGGCATCTATGTTGCAAACAGGCACAACAAAGTTATGTCATCTGGGTTTACAATGATGACGAAGATATCCTGACAACAGACAAACCTAGTATTTGCTCATAACAACTGGTGGGTGGGCAACTCCGATAGAATATTATTATGGAATATTAATAATGACATTCAACAGAGAAAAGGTAGTCACAAAGGCTGAGATGCAAAATAAGAATCAGATTCAGCACAACACTCAGGTCTGCAATAATAAAATGCAATTATTCTTTCATAGTATTACTGTTCTGTGGCCAAGGATGCAGCAACAAGATAAATAGAAACTAAATTTGATTATAAATATTAATTTGCATTTTACTATACAGTTCGTCCTGTTGTATTTTCAATCACAAATAGTTGCATTCACAATTTTAAAAATTCAAATTCACCTCTGAATGCAACAGAACAGTAATATCATTAACTAATCATAATTAATGTTAACAGATTGTTCCTCAATTTTTTGGCCAGTAACGGCAGAGAAAAGGTCATTATCAATATGGATGCTAGATTGATGGCTTCATCATTCGTTATGAACTGCTTATTTAAAAACAAAAGGTTAAAAGTACCAGTGGAAACCTGAAATGAATATTTGTGCCAAAGAAATTTAAAAAAATCATTATGAATCATATAAAGATTAGTTCAACATTTAAAAAAATGTACCTTGCCATTTCTTGACGTGCTTTGAATGCGGCTGTCTCCTGAAACAGGGTCCCACTGCTATGAAAGTACTTATCATATTTTTCAGAACCAGGTAAGGGGTAGATACGCCTGAAGTTTCCTACATGATCATTCTCATATTTCTCAAGCTGAATGATATACTGACTTTGAGCTGCTTCCAGCTCCTCTCTGGGAAGGCAAAATACATAACATTTCGTACATTCAAAGATAAAATAAATTCTCGGTTGTCACAAATTTCAATAATGCAATGTCAGTTACTCCAAATCACATACACGCCCATGTGCAAGAATGTGTTTGTTGGCTCCTTTAGGTCTTTCCAAATAACAGTGTGATCGTGTGCTACAGAGATGTATGGAAAGCACAGCCAATGGCAATGATTAGTGTGACTAGGAAGATATATTTTGTTTCATGGACAACTGTATTCATGCAACGACAACAACAACAAAACATACATACATGTACGCACACATACCACACATAAAAAATAAGCAAAAACAAAACTGGCCTTTCCTAATGGTAAAGAAGATCAAAATAAAATGTGGCAAAATTAATGCAGATGAAAGAATAATAACTGCATTCAGTGGATAAGAAAAAGCTGCAATGTTTACTGTCTGCATTTACTGATGCATTATGTGAATTTGGAATAAAAATCAGCAAAACGAAGACAAAGGTTATGGTGCAAGGTGTTAATGATAGACCTACAGTCTACATTGATGGTAAAGAGCTTGAGACAGTTGACCAGTTTACCTATTTGAGATGCACAGTGAATGACAAACTATCGCCGGACCAAGAAATCAACATTAGGAAAGGTAAAGAAGTATCAACAATGAGCAGATTACCAAAATGGATTTAGAAGAACAGAAAGCTCATGATTAAAACAAAAACTCTTGTCTATCAAGCTTGTGTTCTCAGCACTCGCTTTATGGCAGTGAAATTTGGTCAATTAATCACACCAGGATAAACGGCTAAATAGCTTTCACATGCAATGCCTAAGAATACCTGGCATTAAGTGGCAGAACAAGATCACAAATACTGAGGTATTGGAAAGAGCAGGTATTACAACAATCTTCTCAATACTCAGTCTATGAAGGCTCAGGTTCACACCTGGAGAAATGAGGATGGAAGAGTCCCTTAGATGGGTAGAAGATTTCAGTTAGTTAATTGGGTTATCATCATCGAACTCTGGACATATCCATAGGTGCTCAGATCCTCCCCTCAGTATGCACCCCAGCATCCAGTGGCTAATATTACTAGTTCTATGTTGATTAACAAGTCCTCTGATGTGCCAAGTGTGCCAGGTTTTACTATGCTGATCTTAACTTCCATGTCTATCATTCTGGTGAGTGATGTGGATTCAATGCAAAGAAAGTCATCCACTCTTCTCATTTCTTGGAGGGCATTAATAATATCAGCATGATCCAAAGGTTGCCCATCATTAATGATAGCAGGTCCAGCCAACCTATCAGTTCTTTCATTACCATCGACGCCTGCATGTCCCGGAATCAAAAAAGTGGTGACTCCACTCACAGTGGAATTCTGTAATAATTCAACCCATTACCATCACAGCGAACCGACCTGAACCCTCCAAATCATACTCATTGGGTAGAAGCTCTCGAGGCCGGCCTTTACTACGATATAAAGATGTGTGCAAATGGGACATAAATAATACAGGAAGTAAGGTGGAATTGTGGGAACAAAATACCATGGACCATGTTGTGTGGAGGGGGCACAAAATACAAATGTTTACAACTTTGGTCCGTAAATCCAATGCTATAATTGTGGAAGACTTTTCTTAACATGGGTGGTCTTTGCTAGTCACACTCACCATCACCATTGGCTGTGAGTACCATGCCTCCTCAAAACACAGTATAACACTATTGTCTGGAAAGATGGAAAGGTGCCAATATTATACTAATAATAAAATACACTGGATAACTATACCCGAGCACAGCAACTGTCATGACAGTTGGAAACTATTGTCAACTTTGTCTGCACAGCAGTGTCTACATTACTGCAACAGTATTTACATCACTATAACAGTATTTACATCATCTCAACAGTATCCGCATCACTACAACAGTATCCAAATTATTACAACAGTATCCACATCACTACATAATTTACATCACTATATACTTTACTTACAGCAGTTTCCACATCAACACAGCGATATGTTACAACAGGAGTATCTACATCCCTACAACAGTGTCTACATCCCAACAACAGTGTCTACATCCCTAAAACAGTGTCTACATCCCTACAACAGTGTCTACATCCCTACAACAGTGTCTACATCCCTACAACAGTGTCTACATCCCTACAACAGTGTCTACATCTCTACAACAGTGTCTACATCCCTACAACAATGTCTACATCCCTACAACAGTGTCTACATCCCTACAACAGTGTCTACATCCCTATAACAGTGTCTACATCCCTACAACAGTGCCTACATCACCACAGCAGTATCAACATCACCACAGCAGTGTATACATCACTACAACAGTATCTATATCACTACAACAGTATCTACCTCACAACAGCAGTATCTACATCACTACAAGAGTGTCTACATTATGTCAACTTTATCTGGATAACTGCAACAGTGTCTATATCATTACAAGAGTGTATACATAAATATTCACCTCACTACAACAGTTTCTGCATCATTACAACAGTGTCTACATCAATTCAACAGTATCTACATCACTTCAGCAGTATCTGCATCACTACAGCAGTGTCAATATCACTTCAACAGTGTCCATACCACAAAATCAGTGTCCACATCCTTGTAACAGTGTCTATATTATTTCAACAGCATCTACACCACTACAACAGTTTAAGTTCATGGTTCAGGGCGATAGAAGTTGACTTATAGACTAGAGATAAGTCAGTTGCATATAATTCTGATTACTTCACTTCATTTCAGCATTTCCATGCATTTCCCACACAATTTTAACAATTCATTAAAATTTTCTGTCAACTTTTGATTTTCGCATACATAAAATAAAAATGCATTTTTTCATTAGTATGATTTCCAAAAAATACTAACTTTGATTCCTTTTTTGTACATTTGCCCAACAGTCTGTCTTTGATACGTCTTCTCTCTTCTTCCAAGTACTTCCGCTTATCCATGGCACCAAAGTTAATGAGGCCCAAAGTGTCCCAGATCAAGGTGCCCTTGATCTCTTTATCAAGGACTGCATCAGTTGTGAAGCTTGGAGAATGGTTTACCTGGAGAAGATGTGAAAGTGCTTGATTAATTATAAGATAATAAATACAAATATTACTGGTGTCTAAGATTACCGAATGAACTAAAACGCTACAGAACATTTCTTAGAATAATGTGGATCAAGAAGAAGAAAACACTATATTGTCTGAACATCGAGGAAAACTAGCTCATAAACAGCCTCCCTCCCCAAAAGCTAAGGTATTGTGGCCATGTTAAGTGTCATGGTGGCTTGGAGAGAACGGTGATGGAGAGTGCAGTTTCAGGAAAATGAGGCAAAGGCTGACCTCTGCAAAGGTGGATATAAGATACTGAAGATGAGACTGGCAATGGCAGCACACACAGCTGGAGAACTGGCTAGAGAAAGAGACTTTCTGCACGTCGTGAAGAGAGGGATGATTTGTAAAAGAACTGCTTTTTGATGATGGTGAGATTACTTAAATGATCAATGATGTGAATAATTGCTGCTCAATGGTCACCTTTCTGCTTCTTCTGCTTATTTTAACTAAATGGAGCAAAAGTCCTTAACCAGCTCATACAAAGCCCTCTGATCTTTTCCTATCTGCCACAACTGTATCAATGCTTGATTAATATTGTTTATCTATGGGTTTCAGTGAAAGGACACTTTAGTACCACCATCTTTACTTAATCTCTTGATTTATTAGAACCCTGTGTGTGCTCTAGGGTCCCATTGTAGTGGAAAAACATGACAAGACTCCCTAACAAGTTTGTCGTAAGAAATGACTAATTAGGGGATTTTCTTCGAAGATCAAGTGCATCTGCCTGAGAGGAACCAACAATCTGCACATAAAGAAGCCAAATCTGTAAAATGGATGTGCAGCAAGAATTCAAATTCTGAAACAAGACTAAAGTCCAGAGCTGGATTAACAAACATAACTTTCTGCTGGAGTTCACAACTGGTGAAGGTGAATAAGAAGGAGAAGATTCATTAAAATTCAGCAATTTTATTTCCTTGGAAATATCCTGGTTCACATTTCCTAGTTGACTAACTCAAAACAATATCTTTCTATAATGAGTTTAACTCGTGCAGACACAAACAATACATTGTACAATTTATTGCCTGGCATATTTTGCTGTATCTCATCAGGTGCATTACTACAGAGTTACATCAACATATAATAAGGCACAACAAACTACTCCTTTCCACTTAAGTAAATAATTCATGCTGTCTTCTCTTGCTCCAGTGCACATCTCATCAACAGAAATTCAAGACAATCAGGTGATTTTCAAATTTACCCCATGCTACGTTTATTTTCTCAGTGCGAGATTGTAAAATTTTATTGTCACTGCTTCCAGAAATTTCTGCAAATGTCCATTTAATGTGTGATAAATAACATGGAAGCCACCCTCTCTATCAATAAATAAAATAAAAACAATTAAAAAAAAGGAAAGGGCCCTTTTCCACGCCTTTAGGCTTATAGGGCGTATAGGGCTAGACCTATATTTTATAGACCAATCGGCACAAGATGGGTGATGTGGTCAGCATCACGCCTGCCACCTTTACTTCCTGGGACTGCACCCGGTACCCACTCAAGGCTGGGTCGACATGGAAACCAAGGTTATTTTTTTTAAAAAGTCCGGCTCCGCCAGGGAGCGAGCCCACGACCTTCTGATCCACAGCGAGCATCTAGCCGCTCTGCCATGGTGACTCCCATCTCTATCAATAACTTATCATTTGTAATTGTAATTGATAACTACTAGGAGAATTAATAAATGACAAAAATATCCACCTCAGATGGGATTAAAACATATAAGCACAGGGTCAGCAGGCATGCGTGCTAGCTAATGCACTATCACGACTGCCTCTGCTGAGTATGCTGAAGAAGAAGAAGACGAAGTAAAAAAAAAAAGAAGAAGAAGAAGAAAAGAAGAAGAAGAAGAAATAGAATAAGAAGAAGAAGAAGAAGAAGAAGAAGAAGAAGAAGAAGTAGAAGAAAAGAAGAAGAAGAAGAAGAAGAAGAAGAAGAAGAAGAAGAAGAAGAAGAAGAAGAAGAAGAAGAAGAAGAAGAAGAAGAAGAAGAATAAAAGAAGAAAAAGAAGAAAACAGGGGGATCATAATCTTTAATATAATATAAGCCCTTCAAACATTGACACCTTATGTAATGAAGAAACACATCCAAAATACTGTAAGCGTAAAGTAACTAGCTCTACTTGCACAACCTCCAATATAATTGAAAAAAAAAAAAACTTTCAAAATTTTACTCACTTCCAAAATATTTGGCTTCAGCTTTCTGTCCAAGAGAATGTCAATACCCAAGATCTCAAAGCATGCACTGCCTCTCACGTGATTTGGGAAGCAGGTGCGATAATTATGCTTGAGAACAGAGTGAGCAGAGATTAATGTTTTTATGATGACATCATCAATGTCGGACCACAGCTTGTCAATATCATAACCTTTTTCTTTCAAGTATCTGTTGATTGTGCTGATACGTCTGTTTAAGGAATGAAACATAAATATATTATCTATGACATACAGGCATTACTACTACAGTCAGTTTCTGTTAATGATTTTCATTTAACAAAATAAAGTAAATTATATTCTGATCATGAAATTTTTAACAAAATATTACAAGGACTTTATAGAAAAGTTCTACAGACTATAAAGTTATGCATTTATAATGCACTGTTGAGAAGAAGAAAATACAGTAAAATATAAACACTGAAAACACAGGCAAGATGGACATATAACCAGATTGTAACTGGTACCATCAGTTTTGGAACTCTGAGCTGGCTGCTAAAGATGACAATGGAGCACACATGGGAATGCCCTGAGTGCTGTAATGTCAATTCTTGACTCAGCTCAACTCAACAGAGATTTACATAGCTTACCAATGATCACTTGAATTTTGTTCTACTGTTAGGAATTTTTCAAAATCAACCCCTAATTTGGTGATAAAAGACATGGTGGTTGCTGTAACAACAGGCCTTTCAACTTCTGATGGCAGGGGCTGAAAATCTATGGTATTGTTACAAGGGCAATGATGTTGATTCTGAATCAGCATTATTAACATCAGGTCTAGTTGTTCAATTTTTCACAAGTAGCAACTGAATAAACATGAATTTTGTCATCACCACCCCTGCCAGCTGCAAAGTCATATGTGTGACTATTTTCAGCAAGCAGGATGCCAAACTGGCAAGATTCATCAATGATAATGTATTGCGTTTAGTGATAACGTTTTAAATGAAACTTCCTTGTGAGATGTACGCAGGAAATTAAGGAATGGCGGCAGGTGAGCATAACAAAAAGGGATGTAGTGGGTGCTTGGATAATCCACTGTTGTAAGCTATGCTTTCCTTCTAACACAGCTGGTGTATTAGGTAAATGATGCCAGACCCATATTTGTACTGACCAACTGAAACTCCATGAAAGTTGTATTTATATCATGCTCACTGCCTTTACTTCCCGGGATATTTCCTGGTACCCATTTTAAGCTGAGCTAACCTGGAAGCAAACACAATTAAAAAAAAAAAATCTGCCCTGATGCGGATTTAAACCCAAAATCTGGGAGCTAGCAGAATGAGAAGTATGATGACATAATTTTAAATTTTACAATGCATTTCTTCGTATTCATAGAATAAACCTGTTTCTTTTGTGTTCATCCACAGATATAAATGTGCTGTGCTCATTTACAACATGGCTGTGAAACTTGCACAATTTGGGTTGACCCATCTGACTTCTTCAAGCATCTGTTGCTAGGGCTAGCCTTCCTTGTTAGTTTCGTTGGACACTGCAGTCTCGCTGTTGTGTGGTCGTCTTTGTTTCCTAGTTTCCTACACTAACCAACTCTGCTCCAACTGTCATTTTAACTCATTCTGTCTTGCAGTGTTACAGTTTTTACTTAAAGTTCAAAATTGATTTGTTAACCCTTTCACCTAGCAAATGCGTCATGAACCTGGGGAAATTTGGGAACAAATGCTTAAAAAAACCATTTAAAAACTATTTTACATAAGCAATTAAGAAATTTTAAAATTTATGTTTTGAAATTTAAAAATATACATAAATAGAGTAATAAATAAACAATATCAGTTTGCTGCATTAAATGGAATGCATTCCCTGAGGTCTAAAACAAATATGTATTTAGGTGACCCATGCCATGACCTCCTCACTAAAGCTTACAGGATAAATTCAAAGTCAACTTGGCTTTAAAAAATCTATTGCAGTCACAATGAGACCCCTCTAAATGCTATATTTAGTGAATATATTCACATCCAGGCCTCCTAAACACTACATAGGTCTGCATAGAACCAATAGCATTTAATTAAGCTTTTCGAGAACAGTTCACTGCAGAAATGGCTAAATATCTGCATTCACAAGGTTGTGTCACAATCGGAAGTGACTGGACTTGGTCTTGTTTGTGTAAAAGGGTTAGAGAGACAACTTGTAAAGATACAATGAGGTAAAGTGAAACTTGCCTGGTAATGATTTCTCTAAAATTATGTTCAGATAGGACATGTGAGGTCTCTTTTTAAATATTCTAAATCTCCCATGTGGGTTCCTGGGCCCTACTGTGAGGGATAACAAGGACCCACTGCCACCATAACAAGGATGTCACAGGAGTCGACCAGTTAGGGGATTCTTTGAAGTCGGGGTGCATCTGCCTAGGAGGCAAGGAATCAACAGTATGCATACAGTTGGCCAGGTCTGTAAAACAGGTACTTAGTAAAACCCAGGTCACTAAACAAAGTCTAGAAATGGACAAATAACCAGGACTTACCGCTGGGGTTTACAGTTGGTAAATGCAAACAAACAAACATATAAATATTTTTAATTCTACACATATACGTTAAACAAAGAAAAAATAACCTTTTGCTTCCAGCTTCATCGTCCCGCACAAAATCCTGGCTATGTTTATTGATGGCATAGTTTGTTAGATGCATATAAACGTTATCCTTCAGAAGACAAACCAATAAGCAATTTAACAATAAGAGCCATTCAAAGAAGTTAACTTTACTTTCCTCTTGTGCACCTCAGACAGTTAAACATTTTCATTCTTCTTCTTAGGTTTTTTTTTTAAAGTGCTGATAAAGCAAAGGTCTTGAAGCAACTCAAGCTAAGCCCTTTAAAGATTTGTTTGTGTTTCCTTTGAAAGAAAGATAATTATTTCAATATCAGAGAATCCTCACCATTATCACTGTCAGACACCTTTTTATAGATGTGATAGAGGTACCATTGTTATTTGTGTTAGTAGGCCTGCACTTTCATTAACATGTAAACACTGAATACAGTGTTTCCAATTCTCAAAGAATGTTTTTTCAAGTATTCATATTAATTTTAAAGTTAGTCTGGCTTCCACACAAAGTTATCGACTACTGAGTAGCCACCCATTTTTTCTCACAGATCACAAGTACACTAATCCCACGTAGTCACTGGCTAAGTATATCAACAGTACGCTGGTATAGCTGCTTACAAATCATACTAGCAATATTAACAAAGTCATGAGAGGCTAGCGGATGCATCTGGAGCAATAATTACGTATCATCCTGGCTACCACAACTAACTTTATAATTCCGGCTACACAAAAGAAACATTTGTCACAAGTATGAACAGCTACTACTGTCCTCTCCACAGCATTAGATCCAGTCCATGCCAAGCAAAAACAATTCTCACCTTTCAGAGGTACCAAACAGACACATCTGTTCACTGGACTGTCAAACTACCAACTGCCGTGTATTGCTCTACACGTTTGTCAAGTAACCTTGTAACCTCCCCTCACCGTAACACTCAGTTACCTATATAGCCTACACACAACCCATATGACCAGTGATTGACCTGTGTGCTGTTATGAGTCAAAGTCTAGTTATTGTTTGTCTTTCTCTCACAGTAAATAGTAAAGTTGACTCATGACAATCAACATTTTGTGCCAGTATACGTCAGATAGGGCTCCAAGTATATTCTTCCATTCCATTCCATTCTACATAATCCTGGTGTATAAAAACAATTGTTTTTAATTGCCAAATTTATAGAAGACAATTCTCACTTGCTCAAACAATTAGACCAAACTCATGTTTATTCAGGTGGGTTCAGACTGCAGTATTTTTCTAGGTCATCCATTGGATGCAAAGCTAGTTCAGTGTTCATAAATTAAGAAAGGTATAAAATTGCATCTTGAAATAAAAAAAAAAATCTTACAATACTTACTGTGTTGCTATTGCTTGGTTCACTGTATTTATTTGTAGCAAACCTTGCCAGCCCATCTTTGAATATAAAGATTCTCAGGGGGTCACAAGATGTTATTAACACATAGATACGGAGATCAAACTTATACCCATCAATTAAGAATGGCTGTAAAGAGAAAACGAAACTCTTATGATCATGAATAACAAAACAAACAGAATGCAAAAATTAAACAATGATTAAAATACCTCTTTAGCTACATATGCTATTACAAATTAAAAAAAAAAAACATATTAATAAAAGTTACTCCAACAATACATGTCTGCTGTTACTAATATGATTATTTGCCTGTCTAATTTAGCTTACAGTTATAGAATTTCTGAGGCAAATAATATTTTTTGTTTCTCCTGCCTTCTATTATCTAATGGAGCTCTCAGCCAAATCATATTAGAACTTTTTGTGACTGGTTGGATTTTGCAGATCTAGTTTTCTGTTGGATGAAGAGACAAGTCCCACACAACTAACTATTCCTGTTTTGTCTTTTCAGAAACTTAAAGGCTGTACTGGCCTCCAATATGAGTGTGACAATTCATTAATTCTGACTTCCATAGCTCAGGCTTCCTGAATGTTCATACACTGTAATACATCATCACAAAGAGTTAAAAAGTTCCTTGGAAGTTGAACTGAATATCTGGGTTTTGCCCAGTAGGAGTGCCAGCCAGGTTGCGACTCCCTCATTGAAATTATCAATTAATCAATCAATCACTTAGGAGCCGTCTCCACAATGAAGGCTAGCTGCAATGGATCTCCAACACTTCCTGTCTCTTGCCTTGGCAGTACACTCTCAGACTGCTGTTGGTCCATCTCTAGATGTTGTCCTCCCACTTGTCTCATTGTCAACTTCTTGTTCTCTGTCTCTTGCCTTAAACATTTCCCTCCAGTATAGTATTTAAAAGAGTTTTATGTTGTTTTTTTTATGTGATGAAATTATCAGATAGCGGCCTGGAAGAGGAAAAAAGACATTGGTAAAACTCAAAGATTTCTAGCTTTGCAATCTATACATTCTGCAGATAAAAGAAATGTGACTGTGGTTAAAAAAATCAGCTCTCACCCTGGTAACATACACCTGACATATCATATGTTCATGTGGTTTCACTTCCTTGGGATTTTTCGTGACCCAAATTCCTCTGCCTTGACACCCGGACTCTGGTTTTAGAATGTAGGTCTTATTCTTCTTCTGTCTGGTATAGGTTTGGAAGTCACCATAGCTGATGATAAAATACGTAAGGAAAAAAGGAAATAGTTAAAACTATTTGTTAAACATGAATAGTTTATCTTAACTCAAGAACAGAACTGAGTACCCACATCAGAAGCAGATAATTTAATTTCTTTAGTCACACCTTGAAAAGGAAAAACTGGAATACATCATGACGGTGGGAAAGTTAGAAGGCAAAAAGGCAGAGGTAGACTGAGACAGAAGATGCTGAACAGTTTGACATCATGTCATGGAAGATCATCTGTGTTAGAATTGAATGTAAGTAATGAGACAGAAGATTATGGATAGACATGTCTATCGATGACATGACGTGGACTAAAAAAAGAAAAGAAAATGTTATCATTTACCCTTAAGTGGAGCCCAGGTCCTCAATCAACTGTCACCAAGTCATCCTATTCTTTGCTAAAATGTGCAGCTCACCTCATGTTCTTCCCATATTGTTGACACCATTTTCTAATTCTCTTCTCTAAATGGGTAAAGAAGTCAAAATAATGATGGCTGCCTTTACTTCTCAGAATGTTTCCTGATATCTATTTTAGGCTGGGTCTACTTGGATCTGCAGTTATTTCTCAGAACTGGTTCCATGCAAGATGCAATAATTCTGGCCATAACCTTCACTGAAAGGATTTATTGAATAAGATATTCTTTATTTTATAACATACAGCTTTTGATTGATTTATAAGTTTAGATACTAAAATGTATGTGCTTGTCTTTAAATTCTTTGAAGACCAGACAATTTTGCTAAATATACTAAAGAAGATAATTTTCACAATGAAAAGAGAATGAGTGTATTACTTTCAAAAAAGACAACATGCACTGTGCTTTATTTGAGCATATCTAGCCAGATTCCTTTAGCACGCTCAACCAAATGTAAAACAAAATAATTATACACTGTTCATTGTTTGCTACGCACTGACTGTAGCTTATAACACACTGTATGTTGGCTGGGACAGAAAGCATTAAATAATCTATTTTGTGATTAAATAAAACAATGGTTCAAATGTCAAAACATTAAGATTTTACAGAACTTACTCAGCAGGTAGGCACCAGGTTTTGGGGAAAACATTGTACTCTTTCGGGAACATTTTCTGCATGCGGGTCAAATTTCGAGCTAACATGTCCTTACGACATATTTCACTCATGCCTGGGAAATGGTTAATTTTCTGGGGAACAAAAAATGCACAAAGTTTAAGAAATTTGACATCGATTATTTGTCAGAATTGTTTTCTAAGCTCTACCTTAGTGGCTCTGTCATACTATTTTAATCCTACTGTGCATAGGAATCAGTTAATGAATGTTTGTAGCTATACAAGTTGTCCATATTTCTGATATGCAGTCGTTATTCAACTACTTAACAAAATTCTTTGTTCAAATGGAACAGTTCTATTACTCATCATTATCAATATGTTCCATGCCAGGTGATACAAGCAACCATAAATCTTAATCTATTTTCTGTATGTATGAGATCATCTTTCCTGTCCCTCTACCAACCTATCCAGAATTGACCTCCATTATCATCTTTTGTCAAAGCCACCTATGTTTCCCTCACCACCCAGGACATCAGGGTAGATCAAAGTAGTACTTCATGTAGCTGTATAGTACTCTAATGATAACCATGTTATGTGGCTGATCGCAAGTTGTGGTAGCATAGTCGCTGGATGCATACCATGGCTCCAGGTTGACCCAGCCTAAACTGGGTACCAGTAAAAGGCAGTCACATAATCCATATAGTGCTGATAGGTCTTTAAAAATATGAGCCTAGCATCATATGCCTGATGCCCCACTGGTGTAAAAATAGTCCATTATTTCTTACTTATGTGGCTGATCCAGGTATCTGTCATCTGATCCTATTGGATTGACATTTGACTAGTGGTATCATCAAACCTTCAGGCAGCAGTTAAAAAAGTGGAAAACAGTCAGCCTATTCCTCAATGTTAAAATATACTCCAGAGAATTAATTCTCCTATTATGTCCAAATCATGGTCCCTTCCCTGTCACTAAAGCTCATACCATGTTTCTCTGAAAATAAGACTGAACCCAAAAATTAGCGCTAGCATGATTTTTTTTAGAATGCTTATAATATAAGACCTACCAAATATAAGTTATAGTTAAGATTGTCAGCTAGATGGTTTGATTTTGTTCATCCACTGAAACACATGTTGGGCATATTGAATTATAAAGCAATGAATATATAATTTCATATAAATTCATATATTTTAAATTAATGCTTGAAATAAATGGTAATATAAATGTAGATTTTCATATATGACAAAATATGACATCTCCTGAAAATAAAGCTTAAGATATATTTTCAAGCATAAGTTAGAGCACAACTAAAAGAGATGAAGCCTTGTAACAGGTTTTTGAGAACAGATTCTCATTAGAATCTTTGGACCCATCAAAGATGCAAACAGTGGGGAATGGAGAGTGAGAAGCAACAATGAAATTCATAACCTTTTAAAATCACCACTGATCACTGGCATCATGAGAAATAATAGACTGAAATGGTTGGGGAATATTGAGAGAATGTCAGATGACAAAGAAGGGAAAACTATATACACAAGGGAGATAAATGGTCATAGACCACGAGGCAGACTAAGAAGATCATGGAGAGATAATGTCCAGACAGACCTGCAAACATTTGTGCCACCAACTGGAAACAGAAGACCAACCAGAGAGATGAATGGAGGCGGGTAATATCTGCAGCAATGAACCTCAAGGGCTCGGAACGCTGACGAAGAAGAATAAGAAGTATTTTCAAGCAAAAATTAATAAAAGACCTGATCTTATTTTTTAGGAGAAACCCCATTTATGATTGACTGCATCTGTCTGGAAGAGGCATAAAAAAAAAATGCACAGGCTATCATAGAAGAAAATCTCTGATATTTGTTCTAGAGTATCTGAGAAACCATTTTGCAAAATTTCTGAGACAAGTATTTCAAATGGTCAGTCTTCTTTCAAGGAAGAAATAGAGAGAAATAGTCAGTGACCTACAGTGGGACAGCTAAATAACTCATTAGTAATGCAGGAGTCTAGGTCACAAAATTCTTTATGTCATGCCAGATAGCACAGCAACAACCGTCAAACCTGGTACTTTTTCATGTCCATGACCCGCTCCAAGGCAACTGAAAAGTCAGTCCAGTAAAGAGTCCAGTCATCATCATCTGAGACTTCTTTGAAACCAAATTTTCTGGCAGTTCGGCGCACTGAAAATATATTAAAACAAAGAACATCTTAAATCAGCAGCAACTTCACTGCAAACGGATAACCCAATAATTGCTTTTTTCATGTGCTAGTGAAAATCACACAAAATGCCATTCATTGTCCCTACTGAAATTTAATGAACAATTGATCCAGGCAAATCCACAAACATGCACACACAGTAGATGCATTACGCAGTTGCCAGAGGTGCCATAACCAACAGTCACCACCAGAATTAAGGTCAGTAAAATAACAAAGCTTCTTTGTTTGTTTCTTGAAATCAGTGTTACATCAATTATATTCATTTTTTTTTAAATTCATTGTCCTATTGTACTATTATAAGTCACACAGACCTTACACACAGAGCTTACAGTCTCTTCCTCGATTCCAATCTGTCCTGTGTAATCAGTTCGACATCATGGATAGAATCGAGTCCAGCAGCTTTGGCCTCTGTCGTAAAACTAGTACAACACCCTACCGCTTTGGGACTGTTGGGCATCCTGTTTCCCTCCATTGATAATAACAGATGCAATTTTTTTGTATAACCCAGGGTGAGAGATGCTATATTCATCCTCCAGGGGGTTAAGGGGTACAATCTCTAAGTAGTACATTTTAATATGTCTAAGTCCTGGTGGAAAGAATTGCCTTTTCAATCCTAAATCCACATGGAACTAGTTATAATTGGGGTAGACTCTCAGGAGATTTAAACTGGTTCGAGGATACACAACTAAACAAAACAAAACCACTGTCTAGTTTAGCGGAAGGAATTTTTTTTTGCCCCTAGAACTGGCATCCTAGATTAGCAGCATCATTTTCAGCTGTTTTGTTGGTGTGTTGGGAAATAAGCAGGCAGACAGACTGGCTGGTTCTGCACCACTTGGTGATGAAGTGATATATGACAAGCTGGATATTGTGAGGGCCCTTAGGGAGCAGTGAACAGTGCCGAGGCACAGATAGATCATCACAGTCTGAGGAGAATGGCACTGCGAGGAGTTATGAGGGAATCTGGCTGACACTCGACACTCAGGGGAAAGGCGAGACAGATATACAATCAGACAGTTACTGGTACCATCGGAATTTTAACTCTTAGCTTGCTGCTGAAGATGTGGACAGAGCACTTATGGGAGTGTCACGAGTGCTGTGATATTGATTCTTAATTCAACAGTTAACATTCAACTGTTTACCCACAGCAAGAGGACAACTTGAAATTCTTCTGTAAAGTTTTGTTCTCAAAAGTCAAAGATAATCCTTTTCACCTAGGAATTTTATCATTGTAAGTAGTACAGTTTTAGATTAACACTGGGATTAATTCCTTGAGGAACCTTGGAGGCCAGCACAGCTATGAGATTCTGTTTGTTTCAGCATTTAGGCTAGTATTGTTTCAAAGCCCGTCTCTATGTTGCCTGTAAGGAGGAGAATGAATAAGAAGAAAAATATGCATTGATTCAGTGATAACGCCAGCCACACTTTTGAAATATAGGCATACACGTTTCTAAACAAAATAGTATACTTATTCTACTTAAAAAAACAATTATGTATAAAACTGCATGACAACAACATCTGTATCCGGCTACCTACCTACATCATATTTACAGTTGACCAGACAAATGTTTAACCATCTGAAAATGAAAAACATATACAAGGTTATTAGCTGTGGTTGAAACATACTACAGGAAATTATCATTATATTAATATATTGTTATAATAGCTGTTTTAGTAGGCTAGCCTTTTGCTATGGCACAATAAAAAAAAAAAGTGAAATAACTATTAACAATTATTTTGTTTTTTGACAGGTCAGATCTGATCAGTACTGTCTAGATTATTTAGCTAAAAAAAGTATTCATCTGACTGGTATTTTGCCTTATGCCATATTAAATTAAATGTATAATCACTTTTTGACATTAGGCATGTTGTGTTTCAGTCTTTGGATATGTGGATGTGCACATAGGCTGTGTTTCATAAAAAACAAAAACAATCCAAAACAGAGGTTCTGAAAAGACTGAAAATGAAGAAAACTGCTAAAAAAAAACAAACATACCATTCTCGCTGCATTAAAAGATATATGGTGTTTAATGACTGTAGACTTTGGGAAATCACTTATTTGTGCACCACAGTTAAATTTGTGTACTATGTCATGCTTCAAGCATCATGAAACCATTAGTTTAGAATATCATTGCTATATACCGATGTTTTAATAACTGATCTTAGCTATAATGGTGTTAACTATTGAAGGAGTATTTTTGGTTGAGCATGTGTTCATTAATTGTGGCAGATATTCAAATGTTTTGTTTAACAATTTATGATGTAATTTCCTGATATTCGAGAGCCTCATCCTAATACTGTTAGCAATTTAACCAGTAAAATGGAGTTGAATAGAGCTGTCATGTGGAAAACAGTAACCAAATAAAACACGCACTATAGCAGTACATGTTGCATTAACTCCACAGATGGTGCTTACAAAAACAGAAACAGAAATAATTTTTAAGAAATGCAGTTAATACAAATACATCCTGTATAACTTATGAAAACCATAAAGGGTGGAAAGTTGAAAGCAAATGATCAATCATTCCCCTTAAAAAAAAAAGTAACAGTAGATACTTTCATTTATTAGCAGTGTCAAAAAAATCTGAATCATTTGCAAAGAATGGGCAGGTGTGTTGTCATGATGGCTCTGTGCCAAGTACTTGTTGCTCACATACAGTTGTCTGTATCACACAAATATTACATTTCTTTGGTTCCTAAGACTCCATACTCTTGCTAAGATTGTCTATGATTTCTAGCTGTTTCCCAAGCTGAGAGAGAAATTGGAAGACAGATGGAGGGAAGGATAGACGGAAAAGAGAAAGAGCGAGGAAGAGAGCGAGAGGGAAAAATGGAGAGAGGGTGGAAGGGGATGAGTCAGAGAAAATGACATAGTTGGGGGAAGGGAGATGGAGTCAGAGGGTGAGTGGCTGGAGAAGAGAGAGACTGTGAAGAGAGAGGGGGCAGAGAGACAGGGAAGAGAGGAGCAGGGGAAGATGGGGACAGGTGGGGAGGTAAACAGGGAGATGGGAGAAAGAAAGACACAAAGAAAGTATGAACACTCATACCACGTTCCTTTTCCTCTTCTTCTTCTTTAAAGCCCTGCAGTGTAGAACTAGGAAGTGTGTTTTCAGTACAAGACCATTTTATGGGCTGTTTAAAAGGTCCTGTATGCAGCTTGTACTATTTATGATAAAGTACACATTTCTACCAATTAAAACTGCTAACACACATATTTTTTTATTTCTAACAAAGAATTAGCCTATACATTTAAACCCCCACAGACAAGCAATGTAAAAGACTTCAAAAGTGCTTTGGTTAAAAAAAAAAACCTGCAGCAGAAGTCAGGCAAATACAATTAAGCACTGCTACAGAAACCAGAACAATGGGCCACTAGGGCACCCATCCTATCTGACAATGTAAACACTTGCAGTGAATAATGTAGATATCAATGTGCAGGTGAAAGTAAAGCCCTTGGACCACAGAGAATTACAGTTATATTGGAAGCCACTTATTCGGTGCTGTAGATACAATTGATTATTCACTGACTGCAATGAATATTTACTAGGTATCCATTCTGTGCCCCCCACCCCACATCCCAAGCTTATCTGTTGCTAGACAGATAAATCTAGTGGTATATCAATATATTTCAAGAGAACCTTTATATGGTGACATTTCTTGTTATGTAAATAATGTAAATCCATGTACTGAATGTTCCTAACACTGCTCTCATAAGATATTTCTTGAAATCACTTTTAAGATTGCACTAGTTTTCCACTCCACTTCATATGTAGTGAACTAGAATGGGTGAAGGCCCAACACTTCCCATTTCAACATAGTAAATGTTTTAGAACTAGCTTTACCTTTGGAATGACACTACCTTTACTACTGGTTTCACTTCTTCTGTTGCCTGTTTGACTGCATCAGGTGTCAAGGGAGATACAAGGCTCTGCTTCTGGCCTTTCTGGTCGCTTTGGCCATAAACACACATTGTTGCTGAAGATTTTCTCTGATGTTACCTTTCCTTCTTGTTCTTGGTCTACCCCATGCTCTATGTCCTTCTCCTCTTTTAGTGTAAGCCTTGTATGGTATGGCCTCACAAGGCATTCTCGCTAAGTGGGCAAACCATTTGAATAGCTGTCTTTGTCTTTAATTTAGGATTAGTTCAGTGCTGACTTTTTCTCTTAAGATTTTACCTCTGATGATCACTCCTGCAGCCCTTCTCAGATATCTCATTTCCATGGTTTTAATTTTCTCTTCTGGTTTGTTGTGAGTGACCTTTTTGGCACTGGTAGCACAAAGTGGGAATGAATATGCTTTGTTTGAGACATTTCTTTTTGCACTGATCAAGATGGTTTTATTCTGAAAGACAGGTCTTGCTGTCCCAGTACCTCTGGTTTCCCTGCTCTTATTAATTATCATCATCATCATCATGTAGCATCTCCTTTACAGATTGTTGTTCTCATTGTAGACGGCCTGAAAAAAACTTGGTTATTCACCAGCACCCTAACCTCATGTCTTTTTCTATCCAAAGTGTCTCATATATTCTGTGCCCATCTTCATGCTGGTCAACCCATGCCCCTCTTTCCTGGTACCATACCATTTGCTGCCATTCTTTTCTATTCACCGCTGCACTTGAATGGCCAAAATATTTCAGTTTCCCAGACAAGACGCTGTTTACTAGCCAATCTTTCCTGATGTTCAGATCTTTTAGGACGTCAATATTTCCTTTCTTCTTGGCCCATGGTATTCTGAGAATTCTTTTATAGCTTTTCTGGTAAAATGTTCTTATTTTCTTCCTTACTGACAATGGAATCAGATATAATGTGAAAATGTGAGGTCATTATAAGTAACAGACTGTTTAAATGACCTGCGGTACACCGGGTTTCTGGGACTAGCCCATACTTTTATAAATAATTTGACACTTAATGTGCGCTGTGGTCAAAATCATGACAGATGCCCTTTGCCCCTAATATTTCTGGGAACCCACTTTTAGGCTGGGTCAACTTGTCTAGTTCAGTTCAATTTTAAAGACATATTTAGATAGAGATTCGACTACAATAATATGTGGCTAGTAGACCAGTAAACTATCAGTTTCACTACACTGCTTCTTCTGTCATTATAGCAGTAGATTTATAAAAGAACAACATTCTATAATTTATAAATGAATAGACATAAATTTATTTCATCTGCTGAATATTAGCAAACAATACTTTGACAAAAAAAACTACTGAAATTTCATGTGTACCATTGCTTGTTTAGCCAAGATAATTATAAAGCTATGACAGATGAATAAGAGGATTAATAAAATGATACAGTAGTAAGTCTCAAGTCAAATCTTCTTAGTCACCCTCTGGCAGGTATTACTATTCTTTGCTTCCTTTACAGCACTGCTAAAGCATAGGTATATGTGCAGTATTCCTTATTCCTATGGTTTCCAAAAACAATAAGGAGGATATTTAAAATTTATACCAATAACAAAATGAAACAAAACATTTAGTAAAACTGTCCACTTTGCAAATTTAGAAAAAAAACAACAAAAAAAACAGCCCCAGAATAATGCCTCTTAGCCTTAATTATTAGTTAATTAATTTCCCCCAAACAACAGAATAACAAGAACAACAAAACAGCTGTTCATGACTGGTGAATCTAAATATAAAATATATCTTTTAAAAATATAAACTGATTAATCAGGTAAATTAATCAGTATGTGTTAAGATGATTTACTTGGCATATAATGTATTTCAGTACATTAACGAGCACCTCTCATAACGAGTAATTCGCATAACGAGCAAAACAAATTGTGAAAAAAAATGACTTGCTTAACAAGCGACGTTTCGCATAACGAGTGATGAGGAGAAGGGAAGTCCCGAGTTGTGCGCATGTTACATCAGTCTGTGTTTAGCACTCGCTCCAGTAGCATCGTAGTGTTGCTTGTGATCACACATTTTCTCAAACTTGTGTTGTATAGTGATTTATGTACATGAATCCTCCAGGCCTACAAGATGACCTCTCTGAAGAATTAAGTTCATCAAGATACAGTTTCTGCCTGCCAACACCACTCTGTTACTCCAGCCCATGGACCAGCAAGTTATTTCTAAACTTTAAGAAGCTCTACACTAAAGCACTCTTCGAGCATTGTTTACAGGTGACTGAAGGGACCAACCTCACTCTCAGAGAGTTTTGGGAAAATCACTTCTACATCATTGCCTGCCTCAAGATGATCGACAAGGCGAGGGAAGGGGTTACCAAGAGAACCCTAACTTCTACTTAGAAGAAGCTTTGGCCGGAAAGCGTTGTCGATTTGTGACTTTGAGAGGTTTGAGACAGTACCTGTAGAACCTATCGGCAACGAGATTGTGTCTTTTGCCACTATCTTGAGATTGGAGGTGGATAACAGTGATATCGAAGAGCTTGTGGAAGAGCACAGCCAAGAGCTGACCACCCAAGAGCTTATGGAGTTGCATGTGTTTCACAGCAAGAAGTTTTGGGGGAAAGTTTGTCAGAGGAGGAGGAGGGGGCGGTAACAGAAAAGCAACAATCTTCTGGCGAAATAAGAGAAATGCTGAAAGCATTGCAAACTGTTGCATCTAACATTGAGAAGCATCACCCTAATAAGAAAGTGGCTATGCGCGTTGCAAATTTATTTAATGATATTGATGTGTAGCATTTTCGCCAAATTTTGAAACATCAGCAAAAACAAACATCTTTCTAGTTGAAAAAAAAAAATAATTAGCTATGTATCATAATTATTTTGACTTTTTCTTTCTGCAAATCGAATTCACATTCCAGGTGGGTTCGTTCCGCATTTGAAGAAAAGTTGAAGATGATTCACTCTCCTTAACAATTTGGATATAATTTTCTTTGAATAAACATTATACATAGCATTTTGTGAGTATTGTTTTCGACATGGGACGCATTATCGAATTTTACATTAATTTATATGAGAAAAATTGTTTTGCAAAACGAGTGTTTCGCTTAATGAGTATGATTCTGGAACGAATTATGCTCGTTAAGCAAGGTTCCACTGTACTTAAGTTATGGTCAAGGAATGCAAACAGACTTTAGCAGACAGAATTAGGCAGATATTAGAATTAGGTTGACAGATGGTACAGGCAAACGCAAACTGTTTTTCTGAAATTTCTAGTCATAATTTTATTTTTGCATTATATAATTTAAACCACAGACTTTTAGAAGTTATGCAATTTAAATTTAAAAAAAAAATTTAAAAATTAGCTATTTAATTTTTTTTATGTAAAACTTACTTTTTCCGTCTCCTTTTCTTTTTCTTTCTTTCACCATCTTTCTTCTCTACCTCCTTCTTTTCTTCTGTTTCAGCAGGTAATGTAAACTCCTCTAAACCTTCTCCATCAAACTCCCCATAGTCTTCATTAAATGGTGTTGAGGCTGTTGGAAAGCACAATACAGAAGGTTCAAAACACAATATAGAAAGGCATGCATGGATCTGCAAGAGATAGCAAAATATACAACGGCCGGCCATAAGCTGGCTGAGAATCTATGTTGCACAGAAGTGTAATGTTATTATGGTAAGTATAGTAAAGCGAGAAACATAGAACGTAGCAAAAGACAGAAGGATGCTATAGATAAAGCTAGTAGCTGAAGCAGGTGCCATAGAGTGCATAAACTAGGATTATTAAACATTCTTGCTCTTTAAACAAACTGAACACATATCCCATGATGCTGGAAGCAAACATAATGATCCCTCAACTATTTGCTCATCCATTAATTTAAAGTGATTTTTTTTTTGCAACAAACCATTTTATACATATCTGCTTTCTTAAAAATACAATGAATAGCTTCTTAAGCAATGCATAGCTTGTTAAGTTGACTAGTTAATCGCAACTTAACCAAACAAGTTAAGTCCTGTCAAGAGAAGTATGGAGGAGCCAATCACTGTGATGTGAAAGTTCGAATAATGAAGCATTGTAATGTGAAAAATATGATGTGATCAATCATTCTAATGTGATAAGTGTCAAGTAATCAAATGAAGAAATTTAAGCTTTTAGGCACATGGATAGCATCAGATAGATGATGTATCACTGAGATAAAGAACAAAGCAGAACGGGTAAAAACTGCATTTTATAAAATAAAGAACATCTTATGCAACAAATCCATGTCATTTGAGGTTAGAAAAATAGAATTCTAGCATGCTATATAGAGTGACTTTTCATTTACGGATGTGAATCCTGGACAATTAATAAACAATTTAAATCATTTCTTGAGACCTCATAGATGTGATTTTACAGTGGAATCCCTTAAATTCCTTGGAGAGCTAAAAAGAGCAGCCCAGATGTTTTAAAAGAGGTGAGGACCCAAACACAACTAATCACAAACATCAGAACGAGACAGTCATCATATTTTTGCTATGTTATGAGAAAAAGGAAATAGGGACATGTTATCGTCTTCTTCTTCTTCGCGTTCACCGGCTGTAAACTCTGGTGGAAAGTTCGGGTTGTTCGCCAACTTCTGAACTCTAGTCCTGTTTCAGAAACTGAGTGTTGTGTGCGCATCTATTTCACAGGTCTGACTCATTTGCAGACTGTTGGTTCCTCAGGCTGATGTACTTTGAATTTGAGGAAGCTCCAATTAGTCAACTCCTATAACATGCTTTTGGGCAGGCAGTGGGTCTATTCTTGTTTTGCCCCCACTGGATCCCCGGAACCCACATGAGGAGAACATATTGTGACTAATGAAAAGATATGTGGCAAAATAGAGGAAGACAATGCAAGAAGATTCTTGACAGCATTTTGTCATGGCATGGAGGGATGTCAGCACACAAAGTGATGCATGCTGTTGAAGATCACAGGCCATGCAGGCATGATTGCCCTTACCATTTGGCAAGGCACTTGATGACAATGATGAACCAATTATTGTGATGTGAGGTGTATGGAGTAATAGATCCTTGTGATGTGAGTGGTTTTGTCTTAAACAGGCTTCGGTAATTTAAACTTATTAAAAATATTTTGACAGCTGGCACACTATATTGTGATGAGTTTTAAAGAATCCAAAATCATGTATTTCTTTCCCTGCGTACAGCCTTACCTATGTAGCTCTAATGTTTCATTTATAAGGTTAGTGCATGTCCCTGTGTCTCTTCAACAATGATATAAACTTTCAATTTTTAGTAAAATTATTCTTTTAACACTTTCTGTAACAAGTACAACACCAGTATTTATCAGTTACTCATAAATGGCGGAATGGGTTAGGAAAAAGTGTTCATTGTACTTCTTCTATATCCTCTTCATGTCGCTGTTGATACATAAGGCATTCACAAATGATCTCCACTGATGCCGGTCTGCTGCTTTTCTGCCCATGGTATCCTATGTCAGTGTACATTCCTTTATTTCCTGTTCTTTTGTCTTTCTCCAGGTTTCTTTAGGTTGTCCACATCTCCTTTTTTCCATCTGATGTCCACCGGAGAGCTGTTTTTGCCAGAGTATCACAAGGCATTCTGCAAACATGTCCAAGCCATCTCCATTGTCTTACTTTGATAACATTTGTCAGTGATGCACATTCTGTTTTCCTCCTCAGTTCTTCATTTGTGATCTTGTTTGGCCAACATTTTCGTAGAATTCTCCTTAAACATTTATTTTGAAAAGTCTTAAGTTTATGTGTAATTCCCGCCTGTCATTTTCCAACTTTAACTTTTGTATAATAGTATTCCCAAAATGTTGCTCTTGTATATTCTAAGTTTTGACTTCAAACTAAAACCCCTTGACTTCCATAAATTGTTAAGCATGGCAAATGCTTGATTTGCTTTGTTTATTCTTGATGTTACATCGTTTTTCAGAATCTTCATCTGGAGTAACTTTACTTCCGAGGTATATAAATTCTTTAACTTCCTCTGCACGAAGCATGCCTGTTCTGACCCTCCTCAGTATGCTTTGAGTCAGTTACAATCACGATGTGTGTGTGTTGTGTTCTCTAACCAGCAAAAAGCTGCAGTGACCACCTCAAGCTGGATGTTGTTGTATCATTTGCTAGGCTCTACTGCACCAAACGATGACCAAACTGCACCAAATATTCTTTTGCTAAGAAGCCCCAAGTGCTTCTTTTGCATCTTGACATTTAACCGTCTGTATAAATAACCATATCCTCTGACAGAGCATTAACGTAAATTAATTGCTGAATTTTGACCTCCGTGGCCCCCACTGGCCACTATCTGCACTCACAGCTCAATGTGATTATGACTCCACACAAATTTGACTGTTCCACTGGCACTCTGAGACAATGTATGTTGTCAATTAGCAACAGTGTCCCAGCTATTCCTGATAATGATGGTAAAACTAGCACCCTTGTACTGTGCATTATGTGTGAAGAATCACAAAACTACTCAGGATATGTTGTTTACCAGGATAACACTACACCACAATAAGGTCTCCATTTCATCAGCTTATGTAAGAATGAAGAACTCGGTATCAGTTATTTCTCAGTAATAGAAAAGTAAATTATATGCATTTAATCAATGAATTTCTAGAAAATCAAATCGATTCTCTGGAAACGTGAATACTTAGAAGAGAAGAATAGGTCATATTTAAGGAAAACAAAAATAATCAACTACAGAGGTTCTAGAAAGATTGCAAATGAAAAAAGATTTATTGAAAGAAACAAAAAAGAAACAAAATATTTTGACCACATTGAAAGACATAATATGCTTTTAAAAACCATACTAGAAAGAAAGGTTGAAGACACGGTGCAAGAGGTAAACAATTGGCAGGACATCAAGTGATGGACAAACAGCAGTCTGAGATAGTGTACAGCCAAGACAAAAAGCAGAGCATGCTGGGGATCCATTGCAGCCAACCTTCATTGTGGAAATGGCACTGATTGATGTTGATGAATGAATGACATAGAAATCAGTAAATAAATGATTTTAAAGCTATTTTCTTTTTAACAATAAAAGAAAGTAATTTTATATCCAAGCAGTAAGATCAAAGCCGAGATTTTTTAAATTAAAAGTTTAAAAAAAAAAGGGTAAACATATTATTTAGCTGTGCATACCCAGAAAAAAGCCCTAATGATAATTGCAATTTAGATGTACAACAGGGAGTTGCTGCAGTATAGCGGCTAGACTCACACCTGCAGACCGGAAGGTCTAGGTTCGGGCCTTGACGGAACTGGATTTTAAAAAAAAAAAATGACCATGGCTTCAAGGTCGATCCAGCCTTGAGTGGGTACCAGCTGAAGTTGTGGGAAATAAAGGCAGCCGGCGTGATGAGAACCACACCAGTCACCAAGTGATGACTGGTCTATATAATATAGGTCTAGCCCTATATGTCCAATATACCTGAAGGCATGGAAGAGGGACCATTACTAGATGTACAACATACCTGTTTCATTCACTGTGTCATCTGCTTCTCCTATTTCCTCAGCTGGCTGTACCAACAAAGGAGTCTCATCATCCACAAGTGTTAGTTCTGGTACATTATCCATTGCCCCAACTGATTCTTCAACTTCCCCAATATTGCTGTCTTCATCCGAGCTGCTGCTGCCACAGTTATCATAAACTTCCTCTACCTCCTGGTTAACAGTGTCACCGTCAGAGGGTTGACCTGCCTGCTTCATAGTCATCATGACTCGGAAGTTTTCTGCAGGCAAGTTTAATTTTCAGCCTCCAGGCAGGTGATGGAAACCTTGGGAAGACAATGGAAACGTTAATTCAAAAGCAGAGGTCACTGAGGTCAATCTGATACTAATACTGAATGAACTTGAAACACAGTAACATGGTTTAATGAAAGGAAATGTGCACACACATTCTTTATCAACCCCACAATGTATTCAGCATGTAAAATACTTGCTTCTTCTGTATTTGTTGTTGGTAAGCTGTGCTATCATTTCATAGTTGCACCTGTCTGTCCAATGTAATTTCAGTAAACCCTTAAGTATGTGCCTTTTATGACATGCATTGGGACAGTGAAACTATTATTTTTTTGTAAACTAAATAATTAGACCTGTGAACCCACAAGGGGAGCTACCTGCTTTGTTATAAAGGTTTACTATTTAAAGGATACAAACTTTTTCCACTTCCTGTTGATTTATTATTCTAGATACAGAGTTGGTTGAAAGACTAGTTTGAATCTTTTCTTTCGCTGCCAGATGTTTTTATTTTCAGAGTCCTTTAATATATTTCACTTCTCCCATTTTACTTCTTTCAGAAACCTAGTTTGCATTCTCAGTCTCTCTAAAACTTGTGTATCTGCATCTCCAAAGTCTCACTTCCACTTTCTAACTGTCTTTACTTTTCAAGTTTCTGCATTATAAAGTAGCCTAGAATTAACAAACATCTTACTATTCTCATTTTTTAGAAAGTATACACTTTAGCAAAGTCATGAGCTGTTGGAAACATTCCTTCCTGCTTGGGCTCTATGGCAAGATTTTTTTTTGGGGGGGGGGGGGGGGGGGGGGGGGGGGGAAGACAAAATACCTCCCTAACATGCATCTTGTTAAAAAAACAAAACAAAAAAACTAATTAGGGATTTGCTGAAATTGGATGTGTTGAGCCAAATGATGCAGATTTGGCCGACACATCTGACTTCTGCAGACATTTGATGACCGGTTTAGCCTTCCCAGAAATGAATGTTCTGAAAGTGCTAAAAAATAGTGTTTCACCTATTTTTCTATCAATAATATAATTTAGATTTTTAAAAAATATCCCAGCATAGATATGAGAGGCTTAAATGAGGGGTTCTCCTTTAAACTACGGCCGGTTAGACGTCCGGTTAGTCTGAGTTCAGTCCTCTGGCTACAGTGCAATTAAGGAGTGGAGAAGGCACGAATCACAAAACAAAGTGACGTCGATATGGCCCTGCTAGAGCTAGACCACGCGCTGCGACTCATATTAGCGACTGCGTTCTTGCGACGCAAGACTTAGTGGCCGTAGAAAATTATCAGATATAGAGGCCGTCATTATGGGTAAGTACTCGACGTTACATGTGTTACCCTAAACACACCCCTAACCCTAACCAAAACCGTATGATGACAGCAGGGCACTGCACGCTGTCTATCGCCAACACACAATAATTATGTCATTTGTTTCGTTCCCTCTTTTCCACTTCTCAATTGCACTGCAGCCAAGAGACTGAACTCCGACTAACCGGCCGTAGTTTAAAGGAGAGCTGATTGAGGTATGGTTGGATTTCAATTTCCAAGTAGAACCCAACTTTAGTTGTATTATTAGAAAATAATTTAAGAAATGTGACTTAATCAACTCAGCTAGGTAATAATTAACGGGTTTGATGCGGCCTCCTCTATCATACAGTATACAGTACTACCATTTATCTGTAACTACTACTTTTAGAGCGGTGTGGTGCGGAAGGGAGGAGGAGGTGGAACTGGCTTAAAAAAGGGGGAGGGGAGCCGGTGGTCGTGAGCATGTTGCAGGGTTTTATAGAAAAAAAAAATCCGTCACTTTACCGAGGATTCTTACTAGGTCGCCTGCATTAGAACATAAGCGTACTTACTTGACAACAGAGCTCACTAAAAAAAAGTAAAACCAAAACTACTGGAAAAAAGTAAAGGTGTTTTTTTCCAGGTCCAAACTACCATTCCAATAATTAAATATTCTATATTATACAACAAATAAAGTCAGCGTAAATATTTCGGCCTTAAAAGACACGTACAAGATATAGAAATCAGCAGCTGCACCATTGCCTGTAGAATCCAGCGACGAATGTTTACATTTCGTGCAGGTTGGCGCAGGAGCGCAAGCGACCGAATTGTTTAAAGATGGCGATGATGGACGCTCAGAAATTAATCCGCGTCTATAAACCAGTTAAATCAATGATTTTTGTAATATAATGATTCAAATATCACTGCTGTATTATTTAAAGAACATAAAGAAGGAGTTAAGTATATTTTTATTGATAAGTTGTAGGCTTAATGCGATTTACAAATCTATCGGACTTTTGTTTCTCGTTGCTAGGCATCCCCGAAAACTAACGATCGGCAGATCCCGTAAACATATGTTTTTCAATGCTTCCGAGTGAGCAATGCAGGGGGCGGTAATTGCGCCTCTTTCCACTGAACTTTCCAGTTGTCACTATGTTTTCCAATGCCTCTCTTCTTATTACGTGGCCAAAGAACAGTGTTTGTCTCCTTTATACTGTTGTAGAGATCTACTTTCGTTAGCTTCTTTCAAAGAATCGTTGTTAGTTACTCTGGCTGTCAAGGTATTCGTAACATTCTTCTCAGAAACCACGTCTCTGTTGCTTCCAAATTCTTCAAATTTTTTTTTCACTGACGTTCCAAAATTCGATGCCATACAACAGAACAGGTTCTATGTAACATTGTAACACTCTTTTTGACATTAAATGAGATCGATTTATTGCAAAAGAGATTTTTAATTTTCAGAAATGCTGCCTTCGCTTGACCTATTCTGCTTTTAATCTCTGTCACACATTTTCCATCTGATGATATGACTGTTCCCAGATATTTAAATTTATTGACTTGGTTTAGTCGTTTTCCTTTAGTTAAGATTTCACAATGTGGTGTTATCTCCTTCTTTGATATAACCATTACTTCCGTTCCCTTAACATTCAAGGAAAGTCCCATCTTAGCACTTCTCCATCCCCACAATATCCAGCAGCTTTAAATCAGTTGTGTTTTCAGTTAACAAAACTGTACCGTCTGCATAACGCAAATTGTTTATATTGTATCTCAAAATCTTACTCCTTCTTTCTCTTTTATTACCCTCAGATTACTTCACTATATAGAGATACAAGTTATGGGGATAAGACACACCCCTGTCCTACTTCTTGCTTTATGTGTTCAAAATTACCTAAGATATTTCCCACTTTAACTGCTGCTATTTGGTTTCAATAAATACTTTTAATTATTCTCAGATATTTCCCGTCTACATTGATGTCTTCCAACATTTGTATCATCTCCTCATGTTCAACTTTGTCAAATGCTTTGGTATAAAGCACAAATATAAGTCATTTTGTATGTGCGTCATACGTATATTGCATTACTTGAACGCAATAAATACCGATTTCGTCACATCACTTTGTATGTACCCAATGTTTTAAATGTCATTAATCAGTTAAGTTAATATTTCTACCCCAAATTCCTCCGGTAAGTCTAATTATTATACTGAAATTTCATCTGGTTCGGTTGACTTTGGGAGCCGCCGTGGCAAAGCGGTTAGACGCACGCCGCGGATCGGAAGGTCGTGGGTTCGCTCCCAGGCGGAGCCGGACTTTTCAAAAATTACCTTGGCTCCCAGGTAGACCCAGCCTTGAGTGGGTACCGGGTGCAGTCCCGGGAAGTAGAGACGACCGGCGTGATGCTGACCACATCACCCATCTTGTGCCGTTGGTCTATAAAATATAGGTCTAGCCCTATATGCCCTATATGCCCTATACGCCTAAAGGCGTGAAAAAGCGCCCTTTACCTTTACCGGTTGACTTTCCTTTCTTCATATGTTTAATAGCATCGCTGTTTAGTATAGGCGGACCTTCTAAATTTATGTCTTCTTGTAATTCTGTCCTCTTTCTTTTGTTAACCTCTCTTGTGTATTCATTCCATCGAATTATTGTATCATTTCCCTCCATGAATGTCTCTCCTGCTTTTGATTTTAGACATCCTTTGTTTACTCTCATCTTTCTTGCAGTTCGTGTGCATTGTTGCGCACGTAAAAAATCTATTGGCAGTTGGAGATCGAAAAGAATAGCCTTACGGCGCTGCCTGTGCCAAATTTTGAGTTAAAAATCTACCCAAAGTATTTCAGGATCCTCGACGGTGCTACAGAGCATGTGCACTGTGCTGAGTTTCTTCAGACTCAGACTTGAGTTAGAAGTAGAACGGAGCACCTATGGGTTACTAGCCGTGTGCCATGATGTTGATCCGTTGTCCAACCCTTAAAACTTTTCTTCCAGTTAGATTGCTAATTTGTCTGTGCACTTTTTTTTTTTTTTTTCATCTTTAATAGGACGGTGTTCAATTTTATTGCATTGTTCATTTAGCCAAACTTCTTTTGCCTTCACACACTTATGCCTTATTTCTTTTTTTTTTTTTTTTTAATTTTATCATATTTTTCTTTGTCATTCATACATTGTTTTATATCACCCATTAATTTTAATGTTTTTTTTTTAGGTCATCCATTTGTGTTTAGCTACGTGTCTTCTTTCTGGTAACATCTCTTTGCTTGTTTGGTGGATGGAGTCATTCAGCATTTCCCACTGATCGTTATCTGTTTCATGTGTTGGGTTAATTGAAGGGTTCATTAAAAAATCCTTGGAGAATACTTTTGTCTCCTTCAAAGATTTGGTATTAGGCCCTGGTGGAAATAGTATACCCATGTTGTCATTCTTGCCTTGCTCGTCCCTTAGATGGGACTGGGGACTGAAAGAGTTAACTATACTATAGTCCACAATCGGCTCCAGCTGACAGCTGGAGCCGGTCGTGTATAGTATATACTCCTATAAACTGTTCCAGTCGGGACGCCCCCCCCCCCCCACCCGCCCCCGGCGGTATGAAGCACGAGCACCTTTTTTAGGCATCCTCTGTTCAGCACTACTGTAATAGACACTGCCTGTGGTGAGTACCGGCACCTTGTTTTGCACACTTTATGGTGA